GCCTCGCCAGCTCCTCTCGCCGCCTTTCTTTCCACTGGCTCCCCGGTTCGCCCTCCTTTCGTCTCTTCACGGACTTCCTCGGCCTCAAGACGAGCCAGGGAGATGAGGCGGACGTGAACGCTGGTTCAGAGGCGATCCGGAGCGCTCGAGGGAGCTGCTCGTGCGGACTGCGGACGAACATACGCTCCCGGCTTGACGCAGGGACTTCGCCTTGCTCCTCCGCCCGTCGACACTTAGTTCGACTCGCTGCACCCGGCTCGTACCGAATGCATTGCAGCGCTTTCCGTCGCCTCCGCTGCGGCATCCCTTGTCTGCACCTCGATGGGAGACGGAGAGAAGGCTTCTGCGGCGAGACGGTACTACGCTCAACAAGCACAACAATGTGCTTGACAGGTGATACCGCTCAATGACATGTGGAGAGCAACGGCAGTGCTATGTGGGTGGTCAAAAGAAGTGAACAACGCCAACCGCAACCTTCCCAACTTCCAGCCTCACTTCCAGTCCGCTCCCACCCCGTCCCTCCAGCTCAGAAGCGACACGCCGATCGCCTTGTCCATTCTTCAGGTGTCATGCCGTAGATTGCCGCCTTCCGAGCCGTCATGGAGGAGCCGAGACGCTGGTCCACCTTCGCAAGACTGTGCTGGCCCGACGTTTGCTGGCTGGCCAACCATTCTTCGTAGGTCTGGATGCGAGGCAGGTGATGCTCGATCCGAGAGGTAACGGTTGGCGCCAACTCGGGTCGAACGGGTGGAAATGCGGGTGGCGGAGGTGCAAGGACTTGAGGCGGAGGGAGATGGACGCCGTGTGCAGGTAAGGGATACGCAGCGGCCTCAATGTGTTGATAGTAGCTTGCAGCTTGCGCCCCGAAGGCGGTGCCCTGAGTGCGAGTGTACAAGGTAAGCCTTTGTAAGAAGCCAAGGTCCCCCAACGCGAGGCGATACGAACAGTGTAGGAGTGAAGACCGTTCAAGGAAAACGTTTGCTGCAAGAGCGACGGCTTCAGCAGTTGCGGCTTGTGCTGCCAGCGGGTGAACGCACCAGCACCCAGAGCGCAATGTCATCATGCGACCTTCCCTGTTCGCACGCTGTCTTCACTTCGCGCTCCGCCTCTTGGATCGCCCCAAGAAGCCGCAGAAGCGAGTCGGCAGACTCGCGTGAATGGTGGGTAAGTGCCGCGAAGATGGCCTTCAGCCAATCGTACAGCCTTTCGACCGCGTCGCTGAGCTGAACGTCGTGGTCTAGCTCATCGCTGAAGTTCCCTAGCTGATTGAGCGTATCCTGAAATGTCGTGGAAAATCCTCTTGAGGGCATGACGGATGTCGCGCGGCGCCGTGGCATGTGTGTTCGCACCGGGCATGCGGAGGATCGACGCTTCGAGCAGCGGGAGAGAGAAGGAAGACGTTGGAGGGAGAAGGGAAGGAGGAGAGGCTCGGGAGAGGCGAAAGAAGCGCTGCGAGGCGGCAAGTCCGGGAGGAGGTAGACGAGGAGCGGGACCAAGGTCGGGAGTTTCTGCGCTGCTCAGCAGCGGAGTAGAGTCGCCATGCAGGGCAAGCCAGTTGCGAGCCGACTGCGAGCGAGAAAGCGCACGGCTGTAGGATCAAGCGTAGCCACCGGCCGGAGTGCGCGGCTTGACTGAGGTCGCTCGCAATGGAGGGGTCTTTAGTCGTCAGCGACAGCCGTGCGACAATGCGAATAGGAGAGATACACAATGCAGGATCCGCTGTCCCGAAGCGCACAACGGACTAACCAAGACGGAGGGAGGAACGACATGAAGATGCGCGAAGGTGCCGGTGAGCGTAGGGGTGACGACTTTTGCTGAGCGAGACGAGCGCAGTTCTAGGTGATGCGATGATGCCGAAGGAACGAAGGGAGGCGGGAAGAGGCGGTTACTGCGGGCACATGTTGTCGTCTGCAGAAGGGGCGAAGTCAGCGGCGCAGCTTGGAGTCAAGAGACGGCGAGACGACGCACAGAACGCCTTGCCCTCGGTGGTGGCCGAGATGATGCCCTTGCGGATGACAAAGTCGCCAAAGTGCTCGCCGTCGAGACGCTCGAGCGCGTACGACTTGATCATGGGTCGCAGGATCGCGAGGATGTCCTCCTCGCTGACGGCCTCGCGATAGATCTTGTTCAGTCTGCAAGGCGAGGATGTCAGAACTGAAGCAAGCGTGAGAGAAGGCGATCGCACGCACCGCTGACCGTAGTAGCCACCGCCGAGCATCATCAAGTACGAGCCGGGCGCCTTTCCGACGAAAGCGATCTCTGCGGCCCAAGGACGGGCGCAGCCGTTCGGGCAACCCGTCATGCGCATCGTGATCGAGTCGTTGCGAAGACCGGCCTCCTCCATTATGCCCTCGACCTTGTCGATGAGGACGGGGAGGTAGCGCTCCGACTCGGCCATGGCGAGACCGCAAGTCGGGAGGGCGACGCATGCCGCAGACGAGAGGCGGAGACCGGTGAAGTCGACCTTGTCGAGGTTGTACTTCTCGAGAAGCGCCTGGATGGTCGCCTCCTCCTCGGGCGGGATGTCGGCGATGATGAGGTGCTGGTTCGCGGTGAGGCGGAAGACACCCTTGTGAACCTTGGCAATCTCGCGCATCGCCGTCTTGTACGGCTTGCCCGGCTCGTCCTGGACACGGCCGTTCTCGATGAAGGCGGTGAAGTGGCGGCGGCCGTCCTCGCCCGTCTGCCAGCCAAAGTGGTCGACGTTCGAGGTGAACTCGTACGGTCGCGCGGGCTGGAGCTTGTAGCCGAGACGCTTCTCGACCTCGGCGACGAAGTTGTCGATGCCCATCCGGTCGACGGTGTACTTGACACGGGCGTTCTTGCGGTTCGCACGGTTGCCGTTGTCGCGCTGGGTGGTGAGGACAGCCTTCGCGACTTCGAGACCCTGGTCGGGCGTGCAGAAGCCGACAACGTCGGCGAGACGCGGGTAGGTCGACTTCATCGAGCTGCAAGGGAGCGAGCGGATTAGCGGCGAAAACGGAGGCCGAGAGCAACTCGCGACGCACTGAGTGACACCCATACCACCGCCGATGGTGACGTTGAAGCCGAGGAGCTTCTTGTTCTCGTCGAGGATGGCGATGTAGCCGAGGTCGTGGCAGAAGACGTCGACGTCGTTGTACGGCGGGACGGCGATCGCAATCTTGAACTTGCGCGGGAGATAGTACTCGCCGTAGAGGGGCTCGACGTCCTTGACGGCCTCGCCTGCGATCTGCTTCTCGTCGAGCCAGATCTCGGCGTACGCCGACGTCTGAGGCTTGAGGCCGTCCGAGAGCTCCTTGGCAAAGTGGAAGACCTGCTGGTGGAGCTTGCCGAGCGACGGGTTGGCCGAGCACATGACGGTGCGGTTGACGTCTCCGCAGGCGGCGATCGTGTCGAGCATGCACTTGTTGATCTCCTGCATTGCCGGCTTGAGGTTGTGCTTGACGATGCCGTGGAACTGGAACGTCTGGCGGGTCGTGAGCTTAAACGTCTGGTTGCCGCGCTTGTCGGCAATCTCGTCGATCGCGAGCCACTGGTCGGGCTTGCAGACACCGGCGGGGAGACGAAGGCGGACCATGAACGAGTACGCAGGCTCGAGACCCTCGGCCTTGCGCTCGTCGCGGATGTCGCGGTCGTCCTGCTGATAGATACCGTGGAACTTGGTCAACTGGCCGTCCGACTCGGACAGCGCGCCAGTCGATTTGTCGGCGAGACCCTCGGCGATGGTACCGCGGAGGTAGTTGGACGCGATCTTGATGTGCTCGTTCGTGATCGGCTCGAGTTCAGGCTCGGTCGACTCGAAGTTGTCGACGCCGAGCGCCTTCCACATCTGCGGCTCCCAGATCTTGTACGCCGTCTGCGGACCATCGGGGTCCTGGTCGTCGCCCAGTCCGAGCGGGACGAACATCTTCGCGTTGTGCTCCTCGAGAGCCTTGTGGAGGTCCTTCGACGCCTTGTTGTAGTAGTGCGCGTCCTCCTTGCGCGGCCAGTAGTGCGAGTCGCCCAGTCCGAAGACGGACGTGTTGACCTTGGACATGTCGCCGAGCTTGCCAGCCTGAACGGCCTTCCAGAACTCGCGACCGTTCTGCGGGAACTCGCCCTGTCCGGCGACCGAGGTGAAGAAGGCGACGTTGGTCTCGAGGGGAAGGTCCTCGATGGGCATGTCGTCGAACGCGAGCGTGCGAGCCGCGACGCCACGGGTACGAGCGCGGGTGGCAAACTTCTTGGCGAGCTTCTCGCAGTTGCCGCCGTCGGAAGCGTAGAGGACAAGGAGAGGCGGACCCTCGAGCGCGCCAGAGAGGGCGTCGAAAGCCTGACGCGCCTTCTTCTTCTGCGCCTCGACGAGCTTCGAGCTTGAGGTCGACTCGAGCGCCTCGCCGAACGAGGGCAGGCGGGCCGAGAGCTCGGTGAGGTGGTTCTGGCGGTCGAGGAAGGTGCGCAAGTCGGCCTTGATCTTCTCCGAGTCGAGCTGGAAGACGTCGCGGCCGCGCTGCTCGGCCGATGGGTCCCACCTGTAAAGCGACCACGAGCCGACCTCAATAGCCTTCTTGGTCTGCTTGAGGAGCTCGAGCGCGGGGGTCGAGTCGTGCTCGCCGCCGGGCAGGTACGCGAGGACGATCGACGGACCCTTGTACGCGTCGGCCTCGGAGATGGCACGGAGCGTCTGCGCAAAGTCGCCGTAGACGGCGACCGAGGCGACGTAGGCGTTGCCGTAGGTCATGGCGTACAAGCCGGCGTCCTTGCGGCGCTGCGCGAGAGGCTGGTCGGTAGGGAGGTGGTAGGGCGTCGTGTCGATCATGAGGAGGTTGACGTCGGCGCCGGTCGAGAGAGCGTGGTGGAGACCCGACGCGCCGAGGTCGTGCGACCACGCCTCGGAGCCGATGATCCAGTTCGACATGGGCGAAAAGTCGGCCTGCTTGAGCGACTCGGGCAGGGTGACAGCCGCGAGCGCCTTGATCTTCTTCGGGTTGCGATCGTCCTCAAGCCACGCCTGAAGCGCCTTGGCAGCCGCCTCGTCGACCTTGCTCGAAGCGAGGACCTCGCGAACCTGCTGACGAAGCGCCTCGCGCTCCTTGTTGGCGCCGAGAACGTGGCCGAGCGCGTACTCGGGCGCGGTGGGCGAGACGTTGGAGGAAGAAGGGAGGAGCGATTCGGGCGAGTTGGCGAGCCAGAGGCGCTCGTTGAAGACCTCGTCGAGGAGCTTGGTGTAGGTCGACTCGTGCTTCGGTGGCCGCATAGTCTTCTGTGCGGGAGCAGGCGAGGCAGAGGGGATGGTGCCGACGGTGAAAGGGTTCGAGCCGGCAGCGACGGCATCTGCAGATCGAAGAGTGTGAGCGGGCGAGTCGGAAGAGTGCGAGTAGCGCAAACGCACCCTGAATCTGGTTGACGGCAGCAGCAGCGTCCGAGATGTCTCCGAGCGAGCCACTCAAGATCGTCGGGACCTTCTCGTCCTCGTCCGCCTCTGCAAACGCGCCGACAACATCGAGGTACAAGGGCGACCACTTGCCAGCCTTCTTGTAGACCTGCTCGAGGATGACGACCTTTTCGGTCGAGGGCGGGACGAGGGAGCGAAGCTGGGAGGGAGTCAAGGGGCGGTAGAGGCTGAGCGAGACGAGGGCGTAGTCGGAGGGGAGGGCCGACTCGATGGCCTTGGTGTTGCCGAGGGCGACGACGAGCGTCTTGGGCGAACTCGCGCCCGAGTAGGCCTGCGAGCTGGCGTGCTTGTGTGCGAACGCGGAGCTGAACAGGCGCGCGACAGCCGACGCCTCGTCGTGGCTCGCGCCATTACCGTTCCCGTTCGTCGCTGCCTGCTCACCGTTCTGGGCCTTGCCCTGGCCGTCACCGCGGACGAACGCGGCGTCGTCCTGCGCGAATCCAAAGTCGACGGTGTCCGGGTCAAACTCGCCAAAGTGGACGACGCCGTGTCCCTGCGCTGCGACGCGTGCGGCGACGACTGCGTTCGTGCGGGCCTGGTCGTCGGATGCCGAGTAGACGAGGGCGAGTCCCGATCCTCGCAGGGCGAGGGCGGGAGCGAGGTCGCGGGTGCGCCGTGTCGAGACCTGGATGACGACGTGGCTGCGCGCGAGTGTCCGTAGCTGAGGGAGGAGCTGGATGAGTTGTTCTGGGTCGCACGCGACGAGGGTAGGGAGGGTGGAGGGGTGTTGGGCGAGTTGCGAGTGCGCGAGGACGGGGGAGGGGACGACGGTTGCGCCCGCGAGCTGGGCTGTCGCGTACACGCTCGAGTAGATGGCTGCCATCGCCAGTGTGCTGCACGCTCAAGCGAAGAGGAGAGCGAGCGAAGAGAGTGGCAAGCGAATCGCTGAAGGCGTGATCCTCTCGCTGGGCTCAGTCGAAATGTTGCACCCGGGTCACTTCTCTCGCTCGCAACGCTCCCCAGCCACAGACTGCACTCTCTACTGCATTGCCATCGCACTACAACCAACGCCGTGCCCTTCCGCTGGCGAGGGACCGACTCGCGCGACGAGGACAGGCGCTTTGCCTCACTCGCTGTTGTCCCGCACCGTGCCGAAGCTGGCGACATCGACGCCGGAAGCATCCGGCGGGGCGGGAGAGACCGACAGCGTCAGTCGGAGTGCGGCAACAAAGACAGCGAAGCTGGCGGAGGGCTAGCGAGGCGGCCAGAAGAGCGAACGTGCCGCGGGCGAGGGTGGAGTCGTGAGCGCGATGAGCGAGGTGCCATTGCAGGTCGCGAAGGTGTCGCACACTACTGCGCCGTTGTTGGCTCGACTGTGTCGACCGGTAGAGCATCTCCCTCCGCTTGGCCGTTCCCGTTCACTTGCTGAACATCCTCCCTCCGCTCCTCTTCGGCCGCCATCTTGCCCATCACCCTCTCCTCCGCCTCCCTCCACCACTTCTCCATCCGTCCCCTCGTCTCCTCCCTCCCCTCCCCGCGCTCTTTCCACCACCTCCCAACCCTCTCCTTCAATTGCTCATCCACCTTCTTATCCGTATACTCGACGCACTGGACACCTTCAAGGCGACACAACTCGACACTCGTACCCGTTGTCATGCGCTGACGATACACCAGCCTCCGAACGCCCGCCGCAACGAGCAAAGGCAAGCAATGCTGACAAGGCGGGAAAGAGACGTATGCCGTCGACCCCGCAAGCGAGACGCCCCTCGCTGCAGCGAGACAGATCGCGCGTGCTTCGGCGTGCAACTCGGGCGCGACGGCCGCGCAGGCGAGGAAGGCGGATTGGCCCGGTTTCGGTTGGCGGGGTTGTTTGCCTGCTTTGATGGGAGGCTTCTTGGTGGGCGTTTCGGGGCCGGCGGGAGTGGAGGAAGTCGAGGACGAGTTTGATGGTGCGGAGGTAGGCTGAGGGAAGTTGTTCGAGTGCGAGAGGATCCGGCCAGGGTAGTTCGGAAAGTCCTCGCGCTCCTCCTCCTCCCTCCGTGCTCTCTTCGCCGGCGGCATCCCCTCCACCTCCTTCTCTTCCCTCCCTCCCCGCGGATCAACGACAATACAAGCCATATTCCCCCGCTTGCTCATCGACAACCTCGCATAAATTAGCGTCAGGACCATGTAGTTGTCGTCCACTGAGAGAAGAGGGTCGAAAAAATAATCGGTGGGGAGGACGTTGGTGTTGTAGGCGGAGATGCGGGCTTCGAGTGTTGGGGGGATGGACGGGGAAGGGAAGGAGGAGGGTTGGGAGGAGGAGGCGGGTGAGGCGGTAGAGGCGGTGACCGGGTCGATCATGGCGAGGAAGCGGATGTGAGATGGTTTGAAAGATGGGATGCGAATCTAAAGGCGGAAGAGCGGCGGAAGGTGGCTGCAGGACAGGCGAAAGAAGGTCAGCCAAGGTAAGGACAGTCGTCCGGCGTCAATAACAGTTGTCGGGCATAATGGCTGTATCTGGGCAGCCTAATCAAGTGAAGATTAGCTTGCGTACCTCTCAAACTCCGCCAGACGACCGGTAGCGCGGGTTTCTTGACGTCGAAAGGTGGAGAGTGATGAGGATGGGGAGGGCGACGGGCGGGATGTGGGTGGAAGCGAGCGGTCCAGCAGGGTCCTGTAGCTCTCTCAAATGCCTCACCCGAGCCCAGCAAATCCAGCAGCTGGTGCGAGGTGAGCAGCACCGCGCCAACCTTGGCCTCGCTCCTCGACCCGCAACACTTCACCTGGCTCCGGCCCACATGCTCAACGGGACCCGGCAGCGCGAGCACGACGACGAGGACGGTGGACAGGACGCTGGGAAGAGGCTGAACGTGCAGCAGGCGGATCAGGGCCCGGGTCACTACGTGGGTTCCTCGTCGGGTCCTTTCGAGGCTGTTGTCGGACCTAGCTGGCTGAAGGGCGAGCTCTGGACGAGTGATCGGTCATGACTTGGGTCTGACGATGTCGGACACTTCCAACAGGACATCTACGCCCTCCCCTCCTTCATCCCCCCTTCTCCCCTCCTCCAATCCCCCTCAACCTTCTACCAATCCTGCTCCTTCATCATCGTCAACCGCGTCGCCGGGCTCCAGACCGGCCTCGGCATCCGCATCGGCCTGTCCGCTTCTCCAGCCGCGCCGAACCTCCTCGCCGCGACGACAGATCCGGGATTCTTCCTCCCTCGAGAGACGGGGTATGATGCGTCCAAGGCGGTACTGCTGGGCTGGGTTGAGGAGGAGCGGCTAGCGGAATTGGAGGAGATCGTGCGGAGTTGTGAAGTGCCGTTTGTGCAGGATCCGCCGAGAGGGGGAGAGGTGCTCGAGTGGCTTTTGGGCGTCGGGCGACGACTAGAATACGAGGGAATACTGTCCAACCCGGAGTTGTTGCTCAGCGATGTCCTCCAGCAACGATAGAGCGGAAATGAGGTGCGTTTGCGACGTCTTCGGCCCTTCTTCGAACGAGCTGACCTTCACCTTTCGCAGTTCTTGTTACCTGTACCTCTACGCAATGCATGGTCAAGGTCGGAAGTGCGGGAACGGATACAAGGCTATGTGCGAACACGAGGGCGAGAATGCTACAGGGAAACGTCGAGAACAGCATGTACACGCCGCCTAACTCCGTCTACTCGCGTCCGTCTAGCTCGAGCACGAGCACTGGAAGCCGAGGAAGTCACGCGGTCCAGTCCCACACAACCTCGCCCTCTCCGTCTCCTCCTTTGTCGGGCAAACACCCTGATCAGTCTCGCCCTCCTTGACCTCCGGCTCGCCATACCGCTCGAACGGATTGAGCGCCATATCGAGCACGCGCTCGAGTTGCTCGATCCCGCCATCGTCGGGGGACTTGTCGACCTTCTGGATCGTCTCTTCGAGGACCCATTGGCGCAGCGTGAAGCGCGGGTTGACGGCGTCCATCCTCGCGCGGCGGTCGGATGCGGCGTCCGACCCGTCTTTCGCGAGGCGCTCCTCATACAGCTTGAACCAGGTCGTGAGGCTGTCGCGCGCGGTCGAGGTGGACGAGGAGGCGGAGGGGATCAACGCGTCGAGCAAGCGCTGGAACGTCGGATCGCTGGTCGAGGTGAACTGCGAGAGGAGGCGGTGCGAGCGGGTGAAGTCGAGCTCGTGCTCGGAGAGAAGGTCAAGCCAGTTGGAGACGAGCTTGAAGTCGCCGTCGTCCGCTGTCGTCAAGCCGAGGCGCTATAGATGAATGCATGTCAGCTCGGACTGCCCTCGACTGGCTGAGACGAGCGAGGACGCACCAGCCGCATCTGCCTCTGATACTCCGCTCGGAAGATCTCGACAAAGTCCGCCTTGACCTTGTTCACCTCCTCCGTCCCGCGCTCCTTCCACCGCTCCATCTCCGCCTGCCCGCCCTCAGCCCACCCCTTCTGCGCCTCAACAAACCCAGACCCGTCCTTGTCTTTCTCCGCCATCTCGACTTCGCAGCCGATCAGCTCGGCGAGCGCTTCGCCCAGCTTGTGCACGGCGAAGAGCATCATGGTCGGCTGATTCGAGAAGCGGTAGCGCCCGAGGTCGTCAGAGTGGTTGCAGATGTGCTCGGAGTCGAAGATGTCCCTGAGAGAATGCAAAGTCAGCAACAGGAAGAAAGGCTAGGAGAGCGGAACGACGCACATGAACGCGTAAGGACCATAGTCGATTGTCGCGCCGTTCACAGCGATGTTGTCCGTGTTCATAACGCCATGCATGAACCCGTACGTCTGCCAACCCGCGACAGTGAGCGCGTTTCGCCTTGCGACTTCGCGAACGATGTTGAGCGCCTGACTGCGCGAGGGTCCGACGCCGGCGGGGTTCGAGTCGGAGAAGGCGAAGACTTCGTGTGCGACGTAATGGCTCAAAGCGAGGAGCGAGTCGTATTCTTCGCGGTAGGCCTGCTGCTCAAAATTCTGTTGCGCGAGATCAGAGTCAGCCTGCATTCGCCGCCCTATGAGATGAATGACGCACGCCGATACGGATCCAGCTACCCGAGACCCTCGTAACAATCGCCGCGTCCTCCATTATCTCGCGCCTGACCTTGACCGACGGCATGTGGACGAGCGCAAGTGCGCGTGAAGTCGGGATCTTGAGCGCCGCAACAGCTTCAGCACCGAGGTACTCGCGGATCGAGGAGCGCAGGACGGCGAGACCGTCGGCAAAGCGGGAGTAAGGCGTCCGGCCGGCGCCTTTGAGCTGGAGTTCGATGGCTTGGAAGCCTGTCTTGGCTGCGACTTCGGGCGTCGGAGGTGTCGAGACTGCAGAATAAAAGGGTAAGTATGGCAGGCTGGGCGAACGAGAGGAAGGAACGCACGAATCGAAATAGCTCGTCCATCCCCAAGTTGGCCTGTCGGGAGAACTCGTCAGCTCGGTATACCGCCATCCCAGCCGCTGAGAGAGCCACGCACCTGCAAAGCTGCCAAATTGGTGTCCCGCGTAGCACAGGGACCACGGCGCAAATCCTTTCGCCTTGACCAGGTCGTCTTCCGCCTCCGACGGCTCCCTCGCCAAGACCGTCTTCCCCGCGACGACATCCACAAACTGCTGCCTGATCTTCTGCTGCTCCTCGTCGCCTCCCTCCTTCTCCGATTTGCCCAGCTCGAGGTCCGGCAGCCAGTCTCTCAACAGTCCGCGACTGACGCTCAACAGCCTCGCCTTGGGGTACGCCGGCGACTCCCTCTTTTCCGACGAGAACGCCGTCGCAGGCGCGCCTCCATTGTTCGGCGGGAGCGAAGCGTCCCAAACTGGCAAGCTCGTCGAGATCTCGTACGAAGCGAGTTGAGTCTCGATAGTCGACGGTTTCGTGTCCGCCGCGTCTCCCGCGCCCTCCTCGCGGATGTTGTAGGGAAACTCGATGGGAAGTGGCGAAGTGTAGGTGAAGCAGCCACCTGAACGAATCTGGCGAGACCTCCTCAACATGCTCGGGGGGACAGGGTCGCCCGCCTTGAGTGCGACCGGCCCGTTCTGGCCCAGGTCTTCGGGTGCATCGTACTTGCCGAGGTCGAGGAGGGATTTCGTCGAGGGGAAGAGCGGGTCGGGAGGGAGGTGGTAGATGGGTGCCCGTGGCGAGATGGGGAGCGAGAGGATGGAGGTCGGGTGAGCGCTGGCCATTGCGCGCGAGTACAGTCGTCTGGAAGCCACTTTCGCGTGTAGTGCTGCACACAACGAGCAAGAACGAGCACAAGGAGAGCGAGGACAACAATGACGGAGGCAGGTCGGTTGCTGCCTCTCCGAGTCCGAGGACGACGACGACAGGGAGAACATCAACTTGCAGCAAAGTCACACTCGGAAGTACTCGACTTCGAGCAGCACAACCGCACTCGACACCGTCGACAACACAAGGAGAACCGGGACCATCCACCGCGCAAACTCGACCTGCGTCACCTTGATCCCCTTCTGCGCGAGAATGGACGCCCACAGCAGGCCCGCCAGGCTGCTCGACAGCGTCCAGCTCATGGCGCCGACGTTGGAGGCGAGGGCAAGTGAGTAGATGGCCGACTTGAGGATGCGAGGGTTGGCGAGGACGCGCGCCGACTGCGAGAACGACGGCGACCGGATGATCTCGACAGCCAGGATCGTGCCGCCGATGTTGGTTCCGCAGATGGGGCACAATACGAGGGCGGTGAAGTAGCTGCGCATGAGAGTCAGCGCGAAAACGCTCGAGAGAAGCGGCGGAACTCACCCGACGAAGAAGACGGTCGCAGCCGGATTGACGCAGATCTTGCTGAGCCAGCCAGCAAAGATGTCTGTCCACCCACGTTCCGTCAACGACCTCGCGAGGACAAAGATGCCGCCGGCGAAGAGGACGAGCGAGAACGGGAGGCGCGAGATGGTGGTCGTCGTGGTCGGGAAGCGCGCGGTCAACTTGCGTAGGAGATAGGGGAGGGAGTAGTGGCGCGCGGAGGGAGTCAATGGCGAATTGGGCGGGTCAAGCGGTCGCGTAGGCGCCTCCATCTCGATCTCCTCCGTCCGCTTCACGTTCGGCGGCCTCCTCTCGCTCCACACATCCCTCAAAAACGCAATCACCCCGGCAGGCATGGTAACCATCCACACCTCGACGTTCTTGACGAACGACGTCCCGACGAGCGTGCAGAGGGTGATGAGGAGGAGAGAGGCGTGGAAAATCGCGCCGGATGGGTCGATGAGGGCCGAGCGGGGGTCGACGTCGGGCGGGAGGAGGCGTGCTGGAATGTAGCGTTGTCGAGGGGAGCTGGTCGAGGCAGAGTGGGGCGAGTTGGAGGGGCGGAAGATGGTGAAGATGGACAGGAGCAAGGGGTAGGCAACGAGGGCGCTGCATGGCGGGAAGGTCAGCTGGAGCTTCGGAACATCGGCGAAGACACGCACGTCAAGACAGTGGGCAGGAGCGTGTACGCCGTGAAGCCGGTGAGGAAGTTGAGCTCCCATGCGCCAGCAATCAAGACGTTGGTCGGGTTACTCGAGACGAGCGCGGCGCTCGCTACGTTCGCCGCGATGAACTGCGACATGGTCCACGCTCTGGGCGCCGTGATGCCCGTCGAGCGAGTGAAATAGCCGAGGAAGGCTGTCCCACTGAGGACGATCGGGTCGTTGCCGACGAGCACGCCGAAGAAGAACCAGAAGAGGTACAGGACCGTCCACAGCGTCAAGCCGGACGCGGTCTTTGGCGCAGACGGTGGCGAGTTCTTCGGTGTCCGCGCCGACTTTTGCGAGATGTAGAACGCGAGCGCGCGCAAGCCGCCGGTCGAGTCGAGCGCCGTCGAGATGTACGCGAGCGAAATGAACAGGACGAGGACGTCGTATGGTCGGATACCTTCCTCGCCGACAATGCCGAGCCTGACGACGTGTCCGTCGATGCAGGTGGTGATGAGGAGGAAGATGACGCCTGCGATGGGCGACGTTCTGAGGTCGAGCGGGATGGAGAGACGTTTCTCCCAGACTGGCTCGGTGGAATGCGTCCGCGTCGCTTCGGATCCGTTGAAAGACGGCGTTGTCGAGACTTTGGGCGCGATGGCGTCTGAAGCGGGGATCTCTGGGTCGTCTCGAGGGGACGAAGGGGAGGGCGGAGGAGGAGGAGGGTCAAGGATGCGCAGCTGAATGGCGAGTTTGAGCAGCGGGCGAGTCACAGCGCGAGGCAAAGGTATCCTGATGCCCCTCACGACGAGTCCCACTGCGTTCGATGCCAGTCAGACCAACTTTAGCCCGTTTCGACGAGGAGGAAGGGGAGGGACGCACTGACGACGGCGTACACGACGAGGACGACCCAGGACTTTGCCGTGAGACCAGTCATCGCAGTAGCAGTGTTCGTACCTCTTCACACGGCATCAACAGCGAGAGCGAGTGTCACGACGAGGACGAAGGGGGCGATCCTTCGCTCTGCTGTCGTCCATACGCTCACATCCGCTCAAACTCGGCTGGACTGGCTCGACAAGGCTCAGACAGCTAGCACACGCTCACACAGCTACACCCGCACACCCACAACCGCCAGCGAGCGACTCCGACTCCTTCCTCGACCCCCTTCGATCACTCTCCGCCAGAACTCGACGACACGCCATGGTGCCCGAGGAGGAACTGCCAGTCCTCGAATCTCTCGTCCAGTGAGTCTAGCGGTCTATCGGGCGGCCGATTCGGTGCGATTTTGAAGGCTGCACTGGACGATTCATGCGGGTCCGTCATCCGAAGCGAACGGGGAGGTAGAGGTTCGGGTGGGCTGCTGGGGCTCGGCATGGGCTCACGTAGGGCTCGCGGACGGCTCGACGCTGGAAGGGAGGCTTCGTCGGGCGAGATGGGCGCGGACAGCGGAACGGACCTTTGAGGCAGGCGAAAGACGCTACTCGTGTAGGGCGGCTGAGGCGCAGGCAGGCAAGAGGACGGGCCTCTGAGGTTACTTGCAGGAGGCTCCATTACAGGCAGGCCGAAAGAGCAGCTTGTTGGATCACCTTTGCTAACCCGTCCCGCCCCTCCCCCTTGCAGCATCCGCAACCGCCTCACCGCTCTCAAGAAGGACCGCACCGAGTACATTCGCGCGAAGGATGTTCTCGCGATCTACGGGTCGCTCATGAGCGAAGGTGCGACTCGTTTGCTTCCGCTTCTCGCCGAACTTCGCTGACTGTCCTCCTTGTCCAGTCACTCGCTTGAACGAGATCCGCGCGCGGCCCAAACCGTCGACGAGCGGTGAGGGAGCAAAAGATGAACCTGTGGAGGTCGAGGAGAACCGGGTCGACACGATCCTGAACGACGTCTTCCAGGTGAGTGCCAGGTTGCGGGCTTTCTGCTCTTTCTTGCTCAACGTCGAAAGAAGCTGATGTGGAGAGGCTACCTTGCGCACAGCTTCTCTCGCTCTTCTTCCTCCGCATCGGCAAGTCGAGGGAGAGCCCGGCAGCGTTCTGCCAGTTGGGAACCATGAAGAGGCTGCTGACTCACCGTGCGGCCTTTCTGACCGAATCCTGCTCGCCTGCAAGCTAACGAGTGTTCCCGCAGTCAACGAGAGTGGCATCTACACCGAAGCCGACCTCAAGCCGTACCAGTCCCGCCTCGCCGAGCTCAAGGAGATCATCAACGAGGGCCGCACTCCCTTGCAAGGCTCAGGCGACCCTACCGAGATGGAGCACGACGCAGCGATGAACAAGCTCCTCCTGCACAAGTGGGACGTCTGCGATCGCCTCGTCAAGAAGCTCGCCTCGTCGCTCTCGTCTCTGAGCGTCGAGCTCTACCCGATCCACCAACGCCTCATCACCCTCCGCCGCTCTCTCGCTTCCATCGCCGCCCGCCCCCGTCCCTCCATCAACGACGTCCAGCCCATCCTCGCCGAACTCCGCACGATCGAAGACAAGCGCAAGGACGGCAAGTTCGTCGTCGAGAAACCGCCTGCCGGGTCGGGCGACTTCTTTGCGCCTGAGAAGGGTCAGGAGTTGCTCGCTGGGTTGCTGCAGGACAACTTTGATATCTGCGAAGATATCAAGGCGAGGGAGGGAGAGGATCAGGTCGCGAGGGGTCCGTTGCAGCCCATCTACGACAGGCTGAGCGAGATCAGGGCGCAGCTCGAGAGGCTGGTTCTGACGCATAGGTGGACGCTGAGGGAGACGGTGAGTCCGGTTGAGCGCACAAGTCGACTTTTGCAGGCTGACCTGTTTCGCTTTTCGCAGGACTTGTACAACTACCAGAACGAGCTTGCGAGGGTTGATGCGCTGCGGGTGGACGGGAAGGTGCGATCGCTGCATCCTCATTCTCGCTCGCTAGGCACTGACACTCGTGATTGGCCAGTTCCGAGACGCGGACGGGAATGTGCCGGAGGGTCAACTGGTCAGTGTCGCCGGCTTTTCCATGCGCGAGGGGTTGTTATTGACTTGGTTGTTCGCGCAGGTGCTGCTCTACCTCCTGCGACGGTGTTACGGTCTGTGCTACCGCCTGATGGTGTCGAGCGAACCGGTTTCGGAGGAGCTCATGCCAATCGCCAACGTGCGTTACCTCATCCTGCCCTTTCCGAGCGCCTGCTCATCCTCTTGCTCGTGCAGAAACTCAACACAATCAAGCGGTGTCTGATCGAGGTCGCCAAGCAGGGCGGACCATTCACGGCGCGCGACCTCTACCCGTTCCAGCTCGCGCTCTACCAGATCGACTCGCTTCGCAAGGACGGCAAGTTCGAAGGACGGGACGGCTCTATCCCTGAGGGTCAGGCGATACTCAACGCGTTGTTGTCGGAGACGCATGAGCTTGTGTCCATGTTGCAGGAGGAGCAGGAGTAGGAGCTGTCGGACGCCCTGTACAGATGTTGTAGTGCCGTACGCACGCTTGAATAGGTGGAGACACGCTCTGCAACACTCGATAACTCCCCTCTCAAGCCGACGATGGTCCGAGAGAATGCTGCACGATGCAAAGATGCAAGAGACTATGGCAACAACGAAAGATGGGCGAGCAGAACAAGCGATGCGATCCCTCCATGACGGGCTAGTCGGATTCGGACGAGCTGAGAACCGTGTCCTTCCCACGCTCCTGGCGCGCCTTCCTCGTCTTGGCCGCCTTGGCCGCTGCCTTCTCTTTCTTCCGCTTCTTCTCCTCCTTTTCCGCTCGAGCGTTACGCTTGGCGAAGTTGAGCTCGATCGAGACCTCCTTCAGCTCGTCGTCGCTGGAGGAAGCGGCGGCTGGCGACTCGGACGACGGTTCTTCCACGTCCCGCTTGAAGCCCTCGAACAGACCGGAGGAAGAGACGCCTGGCAACTTGCGGCCCCGTTGTGCGGATGCAGGCGGCTTGTCGGCCTCAGACTCGGAAGAGGGGATCGTGAGGGCGGTCGTCCTTGACGACTTGCCGGAGCCTGACGCGAGCGACTTGCTCGACGAAGCGGAAGACGAAGCCGCACTGCCGGTGCCGTCCTTGGCCGCCTTCAACTGCTTCGGCTGCCGGAAGGCGGGGCGGCTGACCTGCTTGACTGGCGAAGGTGACGGGCTGTCCTCCGCATCCGACTCGACAATCTCGACCTCCTTCCGCTTCTTCCGCTTCTTTGCGCTGCCGTCCGCCGACCTCGAGCGCTTCTTCCGTTTCTCCGGACTCATGGTCATGCCGCGACCGTCATCGCCCATCTCAGCCTCGGAGGGGAAAACGGCCTTGCCGTAGGCGCGACTGTCCTCCCTGATCTCCTCGGCTCGCTCGCGTGTCGTCTGAGCCAGGCCGAAGTCGTGTCGGATGAGCTCGACGGCGCACTCGGGAACGAGGACGCGGCGGACGTAGAAATTGATGTCGAGGGGGTGGGTGCGCTGAGCGGTGAGAAGGGGCATGTCCTCCGTGAAGAGGCGCTTGATCGTCGCGAACATGACTTCGAGACCGCGCGGACCGTAGCTGCGCGCCGCAAGAACGGATCAGTGAGAGTCTCGAGCCGGAGGGAGAGCGACAGACGCACTAGCCAGGCTCCTCAATGTCGAAGCTGCCGTACTCGCCAATGACGTTGCGCCTCCTGCCGGCTGCCTCGACGCGCTCGATAGCCGGCTCCAGAAAAGGCGTCGCGGTATTCCCCATGAGGACGCTTCGCAGATGCTCGGTCAGCAAGCGACTGATCCGTCTGGTACGGGAAGAGAAGCGTCAATATAGCGCATTGACTAGGTGATGAGCGCTGGACGCACTTCGGCAGCTCGTCAAAGTCGATGTCTCGAGGATACCCGTTGGCGAGACCTTCGGGGATGACCTCGCGCTCGTTGCGGTGACGCTGGCAGAACGCGGCAGTCGCGACGACATGATTGGGTAGGCGTATCGCCTTGCGATTCTTCATCGTCGGTCGATGCTCGGCGTCGGGGTTGCTGAGCAGGTAGCGCTTGAGGCGGAGAAGCTCGTCGCTCGGGTCGTCGGGGAAGGGGGCGTCGCAGAACGGACAGAGCGTATCCGGGTCGGCGACAAGGTCTGCGGGACTATACGGTGAGCAAACGCGGTCGTTGAGAAGGAGGGAACGGACACACGGTCGTTCTCGAGGAGCGGATCAGGCGAATCGAGCCGGTCCGCCCGCAGCCTGAGCAGCGCCTGTGTCGCCTCTGGTATCGCGCTCTCTCCCCGCTCTCCCCGATCAACCTCATCCGCCTCCTCGCGCTCCTGCCTAAACAGCTCCTCAAGAGTCTTCTCCTTCTCGACGATCTCGAGCTCTTCCTCCGAGTCATCAACCAACACGACGCCGCTGCTGCGCGTCCGTCCTTTGCCCTTGCCCTTGTCCTTCCGTCTTGGCGATCGACGAAGGGAGGAGGGAGGTGTCGAGAGTCTGCCGTCTTCGTCGCTGTCGTCGAAACCGTCGCGACCGCCTCGCGCCTTCGTCAGCTTGGTCGGACCGGCCTCTGACTGCGACGAGCGCCGTTTCTTGCTTTTCGGCTGCTTGTTCTCGCGAATGTAGTAATGACTGGAGATCCAAGACGTGAGCCGGATGTGAGAGGATACGGGAGAGAGACGCCGATACGCACTCGAGGCTTTCCTGGTCGCTCGCCCGAGCCTTGCCCTTCACCTTGTCCGTGCTTTTCTTCCGCTTCTCCGTCTCCTTCTCTTTGTGCCTCTTCGGCGAGGCGTCCTGGTTATCCTTCCGTTTCGCCTTGCTCGTGCCGGACTCGGTCGATTGCTGGCGCGCCATCTTCTGCTCGAAGAGGACGTCGGTCGCGTTCTTCGCCCGATCTTGCTCGGCATTTGCGTTGAGGGCGAGCTTGTCGACCTTGGCTTTGGCGAGCGCCCGGTTCTTGATGTCGTCCTGCCGCCGGCGCTCGGCTACCTGTCGCTCGATCGCGTCCGCAGTGCTGGCGGATTCTTGAGCTGCCTTGCGCTCCTTGGCTGCCTTCTTGGTCGGCGAGTCGGACTGGGCGCGCGGAGGGCGGAACTGTGCCCGGGCGATAGCCTTCGCTTTGTGACGCTCCGGGCCGTTCGCGTTCATCCCGCCGTACCCTGACCCTCCCGGACCGACAACCGCCTGCCAGCTATCGTCGTGCTGTCTGCCGTGCCCCGTGCCGCGCATGCCCCTCATGCTGCCTGTTGGTCTCGTAGGAGCAGACCCAGGTATCGGTGCATAGTTGCCGTAAGCGTTGGGACCGGCGGCGTGAAAGCTCGACGAGGCGACGGTCGAATAGCCGGGCATGTGACGGACGCTGGCATCGCTGCCGTTTGCAGTCGGGACAGAGAAGGGCCTGCCGGGCGAGGTTGGAGGGCCGTCGAGGATGACGTACCCGCCGCTCGGACGCGTGTAGTCCTGGTAGCCCTTCTCCATCCTCGCGTGCCTCGCACTGCCTCAGACCGCCGTGTTGCGGGAGGTTGACTGAGCCTGGCGAGTTGGTATTGAGCCGAGGGTCGAGGAGGCGGTCGTTCGACACCGCTGGAGACCGCGCGCGTGTCCAGTTGAGCAGCCACAGTAGCCAGCGTCCTCCTGAGCAACAGCAGCACGCCTTTGAGCGAGGGTGGGTCGTGTGTTGAACGTCAAGAGCGCATCGAGTCGCGAGAGCAAGTTCAGGCCGCGCCCACACCGCTCGACAGCGCTGGAAGGCCAGCTGACTGCTCGAGACTGCCCTTAAGGATGCAGTCTGGCACTCCAACGCCCTCGGTGCCCGCATCGCAGCCGTACACGATCGCCTCACCTCCTCATCAGTCGTCTTCACTTCAATCGCCTCCCCTTCCTCCGCTACCCCCGTCGGAGGGTGTTCCAAGCGGCGCTCCCGCATCTTACACACCATTTCCATCCACCGAAACGCGACATCAGCTTTCACACGACACTCTCCCTCCGCCTGTGCCCGCCTCTCCTCCGTCCATCAACCGGCAACAATCGCTCGCGGAAACGCTCAAGGAACTACAAGAGCAGGCTGCCTTTGTACCGAGAAGCTCGGTGGTGCGAACTGCCGCAGCGAATGTGCCGATTGCGGTCAGCACGGTTGTCGAACCAGAAGTCGGGGTAGAGGAGAGTGTGTCGGAGCTGTACATAGCGGGTTTGACGGCGCGGGAGTTGTTTGTCAGGTTGCCAGAGGTGTGTACTCTCCAAGCCCTCTGCAATTGCCGAGTGAACCCGTCCTTCCTGCGCAGAGCGACGATGTCTCTCTGCTCCTCGAGAAGTACCTTCGACCAGAACATCGGCCGGCGCGGGATCTTTCAGGCGAATGGCGAGGGAAGACTCTGAATGAACTGATAGTGCGTCGTTGGCTTGTATCTCGAGGAAGTAGCTCACAAGTCCTCGCAGGCTACGCACAACTGGCGAGGCGTTGCTCGATATTCCTACGACGCCGTCACGCAGTCTCCGCCCGAACAGACTGCCTACATACTCTCCGTGTGTGCGCTTTACTAATGTCCTCCTACTCGAGCTGACGGCGGAGCCCATTCTCATAGCACTGGCTCCTCCGCTTCCAAGCCCTCGTCCGCCTGCGCCTGTTTCAGCCTCTCGCCGTAGAACTCGCCTCCGTCACATCCCTTCTCCCGCCGTCTTCCTGCTTCGGCCCTGTCGAGCTCTCCGAACCAAGCGAAGCCGATATCCCGCTCTTCCACCCGGCCGTACCATTCGAGCTTCACGTTCTCGTCGCTTCTCTGCCGAGCTTGCAGGGACAGCAGTCACGGTCAGTTGAGTTGGTGACGATGCTGATACGATGCTGTAAGGAGGCGCTGTGGGCGGCGAAGAAAGAGAGTAAGGAGGCGGACCAGCGGATATGGACGAGTCGGGTAGAGCGGTTGGGAGTCCTGCTGGCAGGACTTTTCGCGGAAGTCAAGGTGCGGCTCCAGGCTTCCGTTCGCAGCCGTCGAGCTGACCCTGTCGCCACTTTCAGGCCTCGCCCTCCGCCTCCTCCCTTCTTTCCTCCGCCACTTCTCCTTCTTCCGCCGTGCTCTCTGCGCTATGCCGCCTCGGTATTTCAGCAGGCGAAATGACCAGCCTCGACCGCTCACTCTCGGCCATGCCAGCCGAAGACCCGGCCAAGGCCCGCCGACGGATACAGATCCTGCGAGACGTGGCAGATGGCAAGTACGTCGAAGCGGAGGTGGAGCTGCGACGCCTAGTTGACGAGGATGCGGACGATGTCGAGGTGCGTCCGGGCTGACGGAACTGTTTTGCCGTTGCGCTGACACCGCTTCGTTCGCAGGCTCGAACGAACCTGGCTGTTGTGCTTCTCTATCTCGCTCGTGTCGAAGAGGTACGTCTCCCATATCCTGCCCATCGTCGCGTCCGCCGAGCGCCCTTCCCCGCAGGCCACTACGCACCTCATCTCCCTCCTCTCGACCCACCCTCACATCGCCTACAACTCGCCAACGATCCTCTTCAATCTCTGCACGCTCTTCGAGATCAGCACGGAACATGCGACGGCGAAGAAGGTTGGGTTGTTGAGGGATGCGGCGCGGTACGGAGCGCAAGGGATCGAGAGGGGGTGCTTCAAGCTGAAGTAACGGCGGGGCGGGAGCGGCGCAGCGACAGACGTCCTACGATGGGTACGAGACTTCAAAGACGGCACGACGCATTGCATCGCCATACAATACGTACGAGCGCCCTCGCTTGCTGGGAGACGAGAGGAAGCGTCGACCCTCCGTCTCTGCGAGGCGCCCGGCTTCTTCGGCTCGTTCGACGCTGTTCCCGGCGTACGGAAGCGTCTGTTCTGCGCATCGGCGCGGTTAACGAGGGCAGCCTCCACCCTTGCAGCCGCCGGTCCGTGAACACACGCGGTCGAACCTCCTTTGACCATCGCTACTGGCCCGCACCAGGACTGCTCACTACTGGACACGCTTACAGCTCGCTGCTGTAGCTAGACCAAGCCAGCGCAACCAGCTCATTCACCCGTCGTCTCCTCGCTGTTCTCCCGCCCCACCTTCGGACACCTCGAACAGCTCTTCCCAGCCGCACACACCCGCGATGACCTCGCTCAAGCTCTCGCCAGGGTCCAACATCACCCCAAAGGACATTCTGGCCCTTCCCCGCCCCGACGCAGGTGTCGCCAACCCTTCCGGATCGCTCGCCCTCTGGCCGTCGACCGAGTTCGACTTTGACAAGCGCCGCACCGAGCGGTCCATCTTCCTCGTTGAAATCGAGGGCGCGAAGCAGGCTGGCGCATCGGCCAAGTCGAGCGAGGACTTTTCGAGCACTGCCGAGCCGAAGAAGGTCTTGCACTCGCTCGCCTCGACGGACGCCGCCTGGCTCGACGACCGCACGATCGCGTTCCTCCGTCCGGCTGTGCCCAAGGATGAAGCTGCTGTCAAGGGCGAGCACGGCGAGCGCGTCGACCACCCGAAGGACCTGAGCGACGACGAGTTCTCGAAGAAGGCGAAGGAGTGGAGCGAGAAGGAGGGCGGCAAGGGCACCGAGGTTTGGGCCAAGGACGTCGACACGGAGGAGGAGTACTGCGTCGGAAAGTTCCCCGTGTCGTGAGTCCAGCCGAACCTTTCCTCGAGTTCTTACAGAGGCTGACTTCACCTCTCTCAGCATCGGCGACTTGACGATCACGCACCTCTCGAATGGCGACAAGTCCTCGAAGGCGGAGGCCATCCTTGCGTTCTCCGCCACAGTCTTCCCCGACGGCGACATCTTTACCGTTCACGACCAGGAGAAGAAGCTTGAAGAGAAGGCCGCTGGCTCCGACGCTCTGGTTTATGACGAGCTCTTCGTCCGCCACTGGGACGCGTGGAAGCCGACTGCGGGGCAGAAGAAGCAGCTGCACTTTGTCAGGCTCTCGAGGGCTTCGGATGCCGACCAGGCCAAGCCAGCCGGCAGCAACCAGTCCGAGGCTTCGCTCGAGGAGTTCGAGCTCGTCGAGCCGCCCAAGGGACGCTGGAGCATGCAGATGCAGACTTCTACCGCCTCGGAGGAGACCGCAACTCGCCCGGAAGTCTTCAGCCCGCTCAAGGGTACTCCCCTCGAATGCCCCGTCGGACCTTTCGGCGGCGCCTCCGACTTTTCCTTCTCCGCCAAGCACCTCCTCTTCCACGCGAAGGACCCGCACCTCAACCCGGCATGGCACACCCGCACGCAGGTGTACCTCGTCCCGCTCTCGCCTCGCACCGCTGCGGACGCCGAACCGCGTGCCATTACTGTCGGCACGCAGGGCGCATGCTCGTCGCCCGTCCTCTCACCTGATGGCAAGCGCGCTGCGTGGCTCGAGATGCGCGAAGACGGCTACGAGGCGGACAGGAACCGCGTCATGATCTTCGAGATTGAGAGCGGGAAGAGGTGGGAGGCCAGCGGCGAGTGGGACCGCAGCCCGAGCAAGATTATTTGGGCGCCGAAGAGCGACAAGCTCTTCCTCGAGGCTGAGGATCAGGCACACGTCAAGGTTTTCGAGCTCGACCTCTCGTCCTCGACTCCGCTCAAGGAGCCTGTCCCTCTCACTACCGAGCACGCCGTCGCCCACGTCTCGCCGCTCTCGAACTCGTCCATCCTCCTCACCTGGAACAGCCACTCGGCGCCAAACCAGCTCTCGCTCCTCTCCGTCTCCAAGTCGGACAACTCCTCCGCTCCGCCTTCGACCTCTCTGACGCCGCTCGCCTCGCTCACTAAAAAGCTTCACGAGTCCAAGTCGCTCTCGAAGGGTGAAGACTTTTGGTTTGCGGGCGACAAGGGCCACCCAATTCACGGATGGATCCTTTTCCCGCCGGAGGTCGAGAAGGTTAGGCTGGCAAAGCAGAAGGGCGAGTCACTCGACCCGCAGCTCAAGGACAAGAAGTGGCCGCTCGCCTTCCTTGCGCACGGCGGACCGCAATCGGCGTGGACGGACTCGTGGTCGACGCGATGTCAGCCGTTTTGCCCTTCCCTCGACTCTTTCGATTGCTAACTCCTTCTCTGCAGGGAATCCGAACTCCTGGGCAGGTCACGGTTACATCACCGTGCTGGTCAACCGTACCGGATCGACTGGATTCGGCCAGGCCTTCTGCGACGCCATCAAGCACGACTGGGGAGGGGCGCCATTCCGGGTCAGTCCGCCTGCTTTCTCCAGCTTCTGTAGTACACTGTACTGACTCCAAACACCTGCAGGATCTCGTCGCGGGCCTCGAATTCGTCAAGAAGACGTTCCCCGAGATCGACGGCGACCGGACGGTCGGGCCAGCTTCTCCCTTCGCTCCTGGGCTCGCCGCTGACCATTCTAGTGCTTGCGCAGGCCGCACTAGGAGCTTCTTTCGGAGGCTTCATGATGAATTGGTATGTATACGGAACGATCCTCACGGCGGTGGTGATACCAGCCAGACTGACGGACTCCTTCGTTCGACAGGATGGAGGGCCACAACGACCAGCTTGGCTTCAAGTGCTTCGTCAATCACGACGGAGCCTACTCGACCAGCACCATTTGGGCAGCGACGGAGGAGCTGTGCGTCGTCTCGAGACTCATCCCTCGCCTTCATCCCACTCACATCCCGCTTGGACAGCTACTTCCCCGAGCGGGAGTTCGGCGGCACCCCTTGGGAGTCGCCCGAGATCTACCAGAAGTGGGACCCGAGCAAGCACGTCCAGAACTGGAAGACCCCGATGCTCGTCATTCGTACGTCGCTCTTTCACTCACCTCTTCACCGCTTTGCTGACGATAGTTCATGCCACAGACGGCAGCAAGGACTACCGCTTGACCGAGAGCGAGAGTCTTGCCGCCTTCAACGCCTTGCAGCGCCAAGGCATCCCCTCCCGCCTCCTCGTCTTCCCGTCCGAAAACCACGTATGTTGTCCCCCTTCCGCTCTCTGGGTTCCGATGCTTACGCACACTCCCCGCAGTTCGTCCTCAACCCGTCGAACGCTATCAAGTGGAACGAGGAGATCCTCCGCTTCATTGACGAGTGGACGGCGCCGGCAGACGGCAAGGAAAAGTCGGGCTACGACGTCAAGTACGCCTCGCAGTAGTTAGTCGTAGTACGTAAGGCATTGCAGAACATCGTATGTTGTGAAGTCATGTCCGTGAGAGTCGTCAATCCAAAGTCCGTTTCGGTCGTATCCGCCCTTCACGCCTTGATCCTTGGACTCCTGCGCGGCTGCACAGCAACCTTGACGGGCGTCGGCGTCTCCTCCCGCTTGCACGAACGGCGGCGAGTCGTCCGTTTGGCCTCGCCGCTGGCGACAACCGCTCCTCCCGGCTCTTCCCTCCGTTTGAGCTCGAAGAACGCCATCGCCAGGAAAGCGAGCGTCCTCCCTTCCTCCCCCTCCGCTGTTATCGTCTTCCCACCCTTCTCACGCAAGGCGACTGTCCGCCTGCGGACGACCTCGCGCCAGAAAGTCCCGTAGACCGCCTCGGCCTCCTCGTCTCTCCCGACCGCCGTGAGCGCGAGCGCCCACACGCCATGCGCGACGAGATCTTCAGTGACGGTGTAGCGTGACGCGCGGCGGGCAAGAGTGGCTTCGCGGTCGAGGAGGGCTGGAGACGGTTCGGCGGGTGGAGCGGGCGCAAGGTGGATGGCGAGAAGGAGGGCGAGGAACTCGTCGTTGGGGTGCTCTTCGACTGCTCGGCGGAGGACTTGAAGTCGTGCAGGTGATCGAGGCGGCGTGACAAAGCACCAGGCTAAGTACGCGCCTGGCCCGTCGACAGCTTCCTCACAAGCGCGCATTACGTCCGGGTCCCGCAGACCGGTGTATCGCGAGGAGATGGCAAGCTCGTAGTGATGGGCTGCCCTCGCCGGCTCGAGTTGCTCATTGGCGATAAAGGCGAGTCGCGCGTGTGCGGCGGGGTAGTCGTTCCTCAGCGAGACGGCGCGCGTGAGCAGATCCTTCGCTTCGGCCGTTCTGCCGCTGCCTGACGAGTGGAGGTAATCGCCGAGGAAGGCGAGGGCGGTGTACGATGAAGGGTCGAGCTTGATGGCCTTACGGAGGTGCTGCTCGACGAGTTCAGGTTGGGAAGGCCGGCACTCGACAAGCGCCTGGGCGAGCCACTCGTGCGCGAACGCCAGCTCGTCGTCGCGCTTAACAGCTGCTCGAAGCGCAGCCACGGCGCCCTCGTAGTCGCGCAGGCGATACTTGACGCGACCGAGACTCGCACGCGGGCTGGCACGACCGACATCGAGGCGAATCGACCGCTCGAAAGCTTGTGCAGCCTGCTGCAGCTTTTCCTGGTGGTTCCCATCTGCTCGGGCGAGGCGATAGAGCGAGCGGCCGAGCCATTCGGCTGCGAGCGCCTTGTCTGAAGTTGCGCAGGCGAGTTGGAGGACGGTCGAGAAAGTCTCGACCGCTTGGCTGAGGCGGCTCGTAGCGTACTGCTGAACGCCAATCGCGAGAAGACGCCGGCCTTCGAGTGCATCGTCGCCGTTGAGTTCGAGGAGAGGCGACGTCTCGCGAGATCGGTCGAAGCGTGCGGCTGCGCTCGAGCAGCGAAGGTGTGAGGGCGGCAAAGCCGGACCGCGACGCGTTAGCGAGAGGGCGACTGCTGTGCCGGCGAAGATAGCGGGAAGGAGGAGGGCGTAGATGGGTACGGACAGGGTCGAACCGATCGGGATGGGCGTTGCGAAGTGACTGACGCTTGCTGTATCGTTGTACGGGACGTAGTGGACCACGCGTGTAGGCTCGATATCGACTTGTGCGGGAAGGTGGTGGTCGGCGCGAAGCTGGCGTTGGGTATAGGCGAGAGCGGCGGCGAGCGAGAGAGAGAGGAGTTTCCAGCCGAGAGTCGAAGGGCCGGTTGACTTCGGCGCAATGAGGCTGTGGGACTCGGTGTTAGTGACTAGGCAGTCGGGGAAAATGAAGCGCCGTGATCGTACTTCTCTTCCTCTTCCTCCTCGATCTCGCTCACTTCTTCTTCCTCCGCGACAAGCGAGCCCTTCTCGTCGGTCTGCAACTTGACCTCCTCCGCTCCAGATCGTACGGTGCTGATTGTGATATCCTCCTCAGGCAGGACGACCGCCTCGGTTGACTGCGACGCGTTCGACTGGACGCCGAAGTGAGCGTGTCGAGTCGCTTCAATGATGGACGACAGCGCATCGTCGCTCTCAATCTGCGTACCACAGTCAACCCGACTCAGCTCCCTTGGTCGCAGAATACGCTCGTCGCGGAGCTCACCGTCGAAGTCCCGTCTCCCTTCGCCAACCGAAGCGTCTCTTCGAGCCAGTGAGAGAAGTCGCTCTGGCTCCTGGTGACACTCTGGGCGAGCAAAACGTCTTCTTGACTGTCTGTGAGGCGGTCGTCGGCAGGTGCGGGAGCTTCGTAGCCGGAGAGAGCGACTTGGTCCGCTTCGTCGTCCGACTCTTCCTTGATGCGGACGTCGTCTACTGCATCGACAGTAGAGTGACGTTGGTCTTGCTCAGCGGACGAACCCTGCGACGCCGTGCGAGAGTTGAGGAATTCCTCCGGTTCAGGCGTCGGAAGCTGGACGAAAGGCGGACCGAGGCGAGGCGAGCTCGATGCGCCGCTGCCAAGTCTGTCCCAAGACATCTCCGACGGCGCTGGCGAGTGTACGGATGTGTCGACATCGTTGATGGGGGCCGCCTGGCCCGAAGTGGAAGCGAAGAAGACGTCGTGCAAGACGCTGTCCGTTCCTTCGCGTGCTACGACAGATCCAGCAAGCGAGCGTGTTGCCGCTCCCATCGGCTCTGTCGAGCCTGTTGCGCCAGTCCCGTTGGTCTTGGCTGACGCGGGCGAGAAGAGGAGCCGGGCGGATTTGGCGGTTTCGTCGGCTTCGGAGAGGGCGGAGCGGAGGGATTCGACGGACTCGGATTCCGAGGTCGGCGAGGTGGACATTGCTGGAGGATGAGCTGGCGGGTGCAGGCAGGTTGGTCGCCGGAGAGGGCGTCAGGCGGAAAGGAGACGGGAAGGGTGTACTCGACGAGGAAGAAGCCGTCAAGTGGGCGTCAACACTGCAGCAGTCGCAGAGCGCAGGATCCAGCCAGTGAATGGTCGTCAGATGAGCAGGACAAGGAGGCTGGCAAGCTTGGGCGGGTGACTGGGTTAGGGCCGTCTTCTCTCCACCTCGAAGGTGGCTTGCTGGTCGCCTTGCGGTTCAAACTGAGACACGCTTCGAGGGCGGTGCAGAGTCGTGCGTGTCCCAGTGGTAGTCCTCTGATCGTCCACCGCCGCCTGCGAGGCGTGTGCAGGCTTGTAACGCCCTCGAGTGATGAGGATGAGGTGAGGAAGTGGCCTCTGGATTGGTGAGTCCGGCTGAGCGCGGTCGACTCGGCCCTTGTCTGTAGCGTCAGTAGCAGTCTGCAGAACCTGTCAAAGCAGCAGTTTTAGCGAGTCGAGGCGGACCACTCGTCGAGTCGATGACCGAAGCCTGGTCGACTCGTTCGGCATTGCTCACTCAGGCTGACAGAGCTCGCGCGACGATGCCGAGCACGCTGGACACTCCCGCAGACTCTCTTCCAACCCCCAACTCGCCCTCGCAGAAGACCGTCTCGTTCGACGAGTCCCCCTCCTCGTCCTCATCAGCCCTGCCATCCGAGACGAACGCACCCCGGCCAACCGCGAAACGAAGACGCTCGTCGCTCAAGCAAGGCTCTGCCATGCCGTACCGTCCACCAAAGGAGACGTACTCCCACCCCGACCCGCTCATCCGGCGACTCAGGCTGCGAGACGGCTACGGTAACGAGGTCGACCTCGTGAAAGAGTTCCGCGAGGCCAAGGTCGTTCTCTTCTTCTTCGGGTGCGTCCACTCAGCTCCGTTGGTTCGCGAGACCGCGCTGACCGGGAGACGACAACAGCGCGACATGGCCGGGTTCTGTTCGAGAACCGTTCGACCTCGTATCGACATTCGCACGGCGGCATCCGCACCAGTGCAAGGTTGTCTACGTATCCGTCGACTCGGGCGAAGCGTCGTACGACGCGAATACGCGGCAGCAGCCGTGGTTGGCGATGGAGTGAGTCGAGACGCGGGCTTTCTTTGATCTTTATTCGCGACTGACTGACGCGCTCTTGCAGATGGAATGACGGCTCCAACATGTCCACACCCCTTCCCACACCCGACACGCCCGCCGAGCCACAAACGCCTTTCGAGCCCTTCCTCCTCGCCGGCGACCCCGACCTCGAAGACGAAGTCCACCACTCCGATCCTAAAGGCGAGCTCTACCTCCGCCCCTACTCGCGCGTTTACCTCGCAGACACGTGGAACGTCCTCGGCGTGCCGAATCTGCTGGTGTACCACCTCCCGTCGGCCAAGATTCTGAATCACCATGCGAGGTTCGAGTTCTTGAAGGAGGGAAAGGCGGAGCAGGCTTGGGAGAAGTGGTCAAAGGGGGAGAAGGTCGAGTACGGTGTCGCGGGTGCGCTGCCGTCCCCTCTTTTCCACACTCTCCTGCAGAACTGACAGTCCTCCCGCCTCGTTGTCCAGATTTCATCTACGCCCTGCGGTGGACTCTCGGCTTCGCAGTCGTCGCCATCGCCTACATGGTCGGCGTGCGACAAGGCGTCGTCCCGGACGTCGTCAGCGACGTGAGCGAGTCGCTGACGAGGAACTATCTCTTCAAGCCGCAATAGACGAGGGCATCCGGGACTCTATAGTTGTCTAGAGAAGTAGTGTATCGCCTCGTAATCAGCTTTTCGCGCGGGATTGGCTCCTCTCGGCCACGAGAAGGAACCGAGCGAATGGGTTACAGAACGACCGAGAGAAAGTCAAGCAAGCGCTGCTGCTGCGACATGCACGGAAAGAGGGTTGCGAAGGATACCACGGAGGGGGCGGATATGGGGCGGCGGGAAAAACAGCGCGGGCGGGATCGAGGAGGATAAAGAGGCGGAAAGCGAGAGGGCGGGAGGAGGGGCTTAGATGTCCTCCATCGCGCGGGCGAGCTGTACGCGAGACTCCGATCCGTCAGCACAGAGTCTGGCAAAAGGCAAGGTCGCCAGAGTTGCGAGCAGCAGCACGAAAGAGTCCAGACGCACCTCGTCGAGCTCCTGCTTCGACTTGTTGTACTTCTCCTGCGCCTCCTCGCACCTCTTCTCCCACTGGTCCCTCTCCTGCTCGATGCGGGCAACCTGGCGCTCGAAGTGCTCCGCCTTGACGTCGACCTGCCGGAGCCTGCGAGAGAGGCGGATGTCAGCCCGCCGTCTTCTCGCAAGCCGCAACGAAGCAAGGAGAGCGACCACACTCACTTGTCGGTCGTCTCGCGCAGCTGCTTCTCGGCATTGTCGAGCTCGCTCTCCAGCAACGCAACCTTCCTCGTGAGCGTCTCGTTGGCGGACCGGTGACTCTCGACGTCCTCGTTCGCGCCCTTGGCCTCGGACAGCTTCTGCTCGGCCTTGTCGAGGTCGGCCTCGAGGTTGGCGATCTTGTGCTGCAGCGAAACGATCTCCTGGTCCTTCTGCATCAGCTCGAGTTCGAGCTTCTTGTTCTTGCCCTCGGCACTGTGGGAGTTGCGAGCGGGTCAGTCCGAATTCTGAGAGTCGCCTCAAACGACTCCACCAGGCACAGGCGGCAAGGACCCCGTGCTGGCGAGGTCGTCCCCCGCCGGTGGTGACGCGACCCGAGGCGTCCATCTCGGCCGCAACACCTCGCACGAGGCGGACTCACTCTTCTGCGCGCGCCACGGCGGTGTCTGCCTCTGCGCGGAGGGAAGCAAGGCGCTGCAAGGGGGAGAAGAGGGCGGGATGAGCGTGCGGAGCGGTGATGGACGCGGGTGGAGAACGGGGCGCGGGCGCACCTCCTTGATCTTGTCCTGCGGGCGGATGAGCACAGCGTGAGCTCCAGCAGATCTACGAGGACAGTCCAGCGCTTCCACACACCATTTCTAGCGAGTTGCGAGATTGAGTGAGGACGTCAAGAGCGAGCGAACCTCTTCGCCGTCGACCAGCCACCGCTCACGGCTCTGCTCGGTACTGAAGCTGCTGGACTGCTGCTAGGATGGACCAGGACGCTTTCAGGCACCTGCTCGCGACCCCCGCGCACCCCTCGTCTTCCTCGACTCCCTCCTCGTCCCGCTCTCGCTTCGGACAGGCGCCGCCCAAGCGACCAGCGGGGACTGCGTAAGTTGCGCGAAGCCTATTTAACTGAGCTGCTAGCAGCGCTGACGAAGCGCCACGCCTTCAGCGCCGATGCAAAGGAGCTGTCAACCGAGTTCAAGCCTCGCAAGACCGCTTTCAAGCCGAAACGCGCGCCAGATGGCTCCGTCTACCGTGACAGGGCTGCAGAGCGGAGGCTGGGCAAGGATGGAGACTTTGCGGAGGCTGAGAAGCTGCTCGAGGTGCGTTGAAAGGATCTTTCCTCTCGGGAGACAGCGGATCGACCTCTACTTGTCTACGCGCACAGGACTTTAAGGCTCGCTCGGAGGGCATCGACAAGGACACGCTCGAGACGCAGATGAAGTACCTGGTGCGCCCGGCCTGATCGCGCTCTCCATGACGCCTGCCACTGACTTCCAACCCGCTTTCCGCTTCGCAGGGAGGCGACGCGAAACACTCAATCCTGGTCAAGGGACTCGACATGGCCCTCCTCGAGCGCAACAAACACGAGCAAGCGAAGAAGGGCGACGAAGAGCTCGGCGATGTGGAAGACGAGCTCGAGGCTGCTCTCGCCGCTGCGCCTGAACCTTCGACATCGACTTCGGCCGCTGCTCCGGCTGGACCGTCGGCAGGTGGAAAGAAGAAGACGAGGGACGAGTTGCTGGCCGAGTTGAAGGCGATGCGCGGTGGACAAGCGGCCAGTGCGTCTCCGCCAGTCGAGAAAGACCCGCGGTTCAAGCCTCTTGGTGGGACCAGCGGCGACAAGAAGGGCAAGGGGAAGGAAGTTGCGGGTGCTGGGAGTGGGTGGAAGGCAGTCGGAGCGGCAGGAGAGGGGGAGAAGAAGAAGCGCAAGAAGAAGAAGGTTGCGCCGACGCCTGCTCCTGCTGCCTCCGAAGCGAAGCCGGCGAAGAAGGATACGTCACCACCGCCTGCTCCGCTACCCCCGCAACCAGCGCCTGAAGACATCGACGACGACATGGACATCTTTGGCGATGCAGGCGAGTACAAGGGACTTGACTCGGACGATTCCGATGAGGAAGACTCGAAACCCGCCAAGCCCGCCTCTTCACCTACTCTACAAGCATCCGCAGCCCCAGCAACAAAGCGCAAGTACTTTGACGATGACGAGGAGGACGACCCTCGGTACTCGACGTCGACTGCGCCGAACGCCGTGACGGACCTTGCGGCGAAGCAGGCTGCGGCGGATGCAGCGGCCGCTGAGGCGAAGCGAAGTCGACGAACGGGAGGCGGCGAGGACGAGGAGGGAGAGGAAGAGGATGCGGCGGCAATGCGGCTAGAAGGCTTGTCCCGCTCAGGACCGAGTGTCAAGGAGCTCCTGGAGATGGACAAGGCGGCCGAGGCAGAGGAGAAGCGGAAGGCGGTGCGTGTCAAGTCTCTATCTTCGTTGCGCTGGGCTGACCTCGCATGTGTTGCTCGCGAGCAGAAGAAGGCCAAGTACCAGGCCAAGGCGGCGGACCGCAGGGAGAACATGACCGACGCCGACAAGACGAACCAGGACGTGCAGAAGATGATGGCTTACTTGGCGAAAAAGGAGGGCAAGAAGGGCGGGAAGGGCGAGTAGCAGCAGCGCTTTTGCTCGCGGTCGCGTATTGCACGACCGCGTCCTTCCGCATGACTGTGGCAACAAAGCTCGAGAATGCATGAGAACGGAAGTACTGGGTCACCGCCTCGACAGCGCCTGCAGCGCCAAAGCCTCCAAGTCGACCTTCGGCTTCTTCACCTCGGGCTCCTCGTCCTCCTCCTCGAACCTCGCTCTCCGCTGCTTCTTTGTAACGGGTGCGCGGGCAGGTCGCTCCGCTGGCTCGTCGAGATCGTCGCCTCCGTCGGAGAAGTCGATGTCGGAAAAGTCGGGGTGGATGATCTCGCCGGCTGGCTCGAACTCGGCGCCATCGTCGCCATAAGAGGTACCCTGCGAAAGGCAAGGATCAGCATAGTGACCGACGTCGAAGGAGAGAAGCCGCCACGCACGCCACGCTCCATGTCGCGCCGCTTGCGCTTCTTCTCCTGCCGCTTCTCCTTCTGACGCTGCTTGTCGAGCACGTCCTGCCTGGCCAATTCGGCGCCCTCCTTCGCCACAAACTCCTTCTGCAAGTCCTCCGCCTTGCCGAGCTTGGCAAAGTCCTCCTCATCTCCGAGTTCGTAGACCTCGTGCGCGCCGCCCTCGTCGTCGAACACGAGCTTGGTCGAGTTGCCTTTGGTCTTGAGCATGGCCTTCTTCGACATACCCTGCTTGAGCTTGCGCTTCGAGAGGAAGCTCGAAGCAGGCAGCTCGGACTCGTTCAGCTCGTGATCGCGCCGCTTGATCGTGATGAAGTCGTCGTCGCCATCGTCCTCGGCACCGCCGACGAGCGCGTCATTGTCTTCGTCGCGGTCGATGACTTTGTTGTAGTGGTCGGAGAGGACGGTTTGCGACTTGCGGGCGAACATGCGGTCGTACTTGGTCTTGACGCCGCCCTTCGATGCCTGCGGGCGTGACACTCGTTAGCGGAGTTAAAACTGAGAGAGAAAGCAGCGCCAACGTACCTTGTCGTCGTCTTCCGCATCACTGGCGCTCTCGTGCGCCGATCCCTCCTCTTCGCTCTCACTGCCCGATTCGTCCTCCCCTCCCTCGCTCTCCTCCTCCTCCTCGCTCTCCTCCCCGCCCTTCTTCTCCAAAATCTCCCTCTTCAAGTCCTCCACCTGTCGGACCTTGTTCTTCTTCTCGCTCGCCTCCTGTTTCGTCTGGAACCTGATCTTTGGCGCACCGGCCAGTCCGAGCGACGCGGCGTATTCTTCGAGCGGGAGCGCGTCGAGCTTGAAGATGGACTTGTCTTTCTGGAGGTGGACGGAGCGGACGTAGGAGATAAAGGCCTGCTCGAGCGAACGAGGGGTCAGCTGCGGAGGCGGAGGGCAGGGAGGGGAGCAGGACGCACCCGCTGCGCCAGGAACTTGATCTCAGGATACTGGAACGCCGCGTTCTGCAGCTGAGACCGAATACTCTGCTTCTTCTTGTCGTTGGCCTTGATCTTGTTGACCTCGATCTTCTTCGCCTCGAAGCGCCTCAACATGCCCTCCTCCTCGCTCGGCAACAGGAACAGCAACGCGCGACCCTTGGCCTGATAGCGCGCCGTCCGCCCAACACGATGGATGTACGTCTCGACGTCCTCGGGTGCGTCGACCTGGACGACCCAGTCGATTGCCGGAAAGTCGAGACCGCGTGCGGCGACGTCCGTAGCGAAGAGGATCGCGTGCTTCGAGGTGAGGAAGCGCTGGTAGATCTCGAGTCGCTGCATCTGCTTTTGCTTGCCGTGCATGTGCATGAGCGGGACACCCGGTCGCATGTGTCGAAAGTTCTCGTAGACGAAGCGGACCTGCGGAGCGCGCGTTAGCACGGTTACTGACTGTTTCGAGAGGCGATGAGCGCACCTGCTTGGTACTCGAGAGGAAGACGATCGTCTTCGTGTAAAGATGCGTCTTGATGAAGCTCCACAGCATGTCCAGCTTCTGCGGCAGCTCGACAACCATGTAATGCTGCTCGAGGTTCTTCGGCACCTCCTCAACTTGCTCCTCCTCTCCCTCGCCCTCCCCATCCTCCGCCTTCTCCTTCCCTTTCCCTCCACCCGTTTCCCGCACCGCAACGTATTCCGGTTCTTTGAGCGAGAGTCGGGCGAGGTCTTTGACGGACTTGGTTTGCGTCGCGGAGAAGAGAAGGGTCTGTCGGGATTTGGGCAGGTTCGCGACGATGGCGTTGAGCGTGGCGGAGAAACCCATGTCGAGGATACGGTCGGCTTCGTCGAGGACTGCGGGAGCCAAATGTCAGCCCCACACTCCTTGATAGCAGAGAGAGATTCGGATGCACCAAGGAGCTGCAAGTGGTCACAATCGAACCCGAGCGTCTGATCCATGTGCTGCAAGAGCCGTCCGGGCGTCGCAATGAGGATATTCATGCGCGACAACCGCTCCTGCTCGTGCTTCAGGTTCTTTCCGCCGATGACGAGGCCGGCAGAGAAGTTGTGCTGGTGGCCTATCTTGCGGAGGACTTCGAAGATTTGGACAGCCTGCGGGACGGCACCAGGTCAGCGGGGTCGCTCCAGCCTATTTTGATGCCCAGAACGCACCAGTTCGCGTGTAGGAGAAATGACAAGCGCGCCGAGTCCGTCCTGCTGTCCCCACCGCTTCCGTAACAAGACCTCGAGGACAGGGATGAGAAACGCGAGCGTCTTGCCCGACCCTGTCCGCGCCGCGCCGAGCACGTCCTTTCCCTTGAGAGCAAGAGGTAGAGCACGCTGCTGGATATCGGTCATGCGGGTGTAGTACGCCGACTTGAGTCCGGCGAGTGTCTGGCGGGAAAGGGGGAGGTCGCCAAACTCCTGCGCGTCGCTTGCGTCCTGTTCGTGGGACCATGTCAATCAGTACACGAGCCTGTGCACGTCTGCAAAGGCGCAGTAAGACGCACAAAGGTGTCGACCCGCCGCTGGAGGTCGTCGAGGTCGCTTCTGTCACCGAGCTTCTTCTGCACCCGCCCGTTCGCCTTGCCCTTCCCCTTGTCCCTGCGAGTGTCTGCAGCCTGTGCAGCCATTTCCCCAGCGAGCGTGTGAGCGTGAGAGTGAGCGTGTGGACTTGGTCAGAGCTCCGTCTTCATCAGTTCCGAGGGCGGTGCAACCTTCATCACCTTGCACTCGCTCGCACTCGCTCGCAGGCTACGTGGGAGTACGCAGACTCGCTTGAATGGCAGACGACGACCAGCCAGACCACCCAGTCTTCAAAGAGGCGTGTTCCACCTCGTCCTCGTTTCCCCCACTCGGACGCGTCCTCACACTCTCCCGCGCTGCATACAGGCCACCGTCAAGGAGATCTTCAAGCTCGTCAACGAGCCAAACACTCGAGGTACGCCCACTGGACCTCGCCCCACCGGCGTATCGATGCTGACCTTGTTCTCTCCCACTCGCAGTCAGCGCCGCCGCCCTCCACCTCAGCGCAGAGTATCTCCGCCTATTTGCGACAGAAGCCATCCACCGCGCGTCCGAGGTCGCAGAGAAGGAGCGCGCGGCGAGCGGGGAGGCGGACAAGGGGTTGCCGCCTGGGTTGCTCGAGGTGCGTACGGCTCAGCTGCATCCTTGCGGGCTTGAGCTGACCTGGCTTGTCGCTGGTAGACGACGCACCTTGAGAAAGTGCTCGCCGGGCTGTTGCTCGACTTCTCCTGACAACTGTTGCTCTTGTCTCGTGTGTTTCTTAACTTCCCCGCCTCGCTGCTGCGCTTCGCTGACGTTTTCTGCGCAGTCTCCCTGCATTCAATCTTCATCTGCTGTTGTACAGCTATGCATCAAGCCTGTCAATCCATCTGTCGACCAGGACACGCTAGTGGAAGTGGTCATGCAGATGTTTCAGCGGCTGGGCTTGCACTTCGTCCTTCTCACAAGGCGCGGCGTGCTCGCGGGCTTGCTCACACAGATGGTGAACCCCTCTGAGCACCCGTCCCACGATGTAGGCTGATCGGGTGCTCCTGCAGGACTTGCACCGACACATTCAGGGCGACCGCGACAACGAGCGCGGCAGCCTGTTCTTCCCTCGCTCGGATCAGGACGAGGCGGATCCTCGACCAAGCGAGACGCCGCTGATGGAGCGTGCACGGCACGTAGAGCAGGCGTATAGATAGTCTGGGTGAAGCACATTCGCTTGACTCTGACCTTTCGAGGCTGTTGGCTGGTCTAGTCTGGCTACCTGCTCTCGATCTTCTGGCTGTGTTTGCTGCTTTGCTTGGCTCTCCTCTGCCGCCCAGTTGTGGTCCCCGCCATACGAGGGAGGATAGGAGGAGTAAGCCGTGTACGGCGCAGCGCTGAGAGCACTCGCCTAGGACAATGCTTGTGATGGCGTGGTACCGCGCAGTGGTGATTCGATGTACGCAACTGCAGGGTTGCGGGCTAAGCAGCGTATGAGAGGGAACAAGGAGCTGTGCTTGATATAGGAGCAAGTTCTGGCTCGTTCCCCCAACTTGGCCTGATGGTCTAGAGGTATGATTCTCTCTTAGGGACGTCGCAAGACGCTTTATTGGGAGAGGTCCCGGGTTCAATCCCCGGTTAGGCCCAGTACTTTTTGCACAGCGTTTCTAGCTTGACATCCCCTCTCTTTTTCGCCGGGCCCTCGGCAGGAAACGCTGGCGCGCAGGTCCTACGCTGCGTTAACTCTTGTAGGCTTGCTCTGCTCTTGTTTGATGCCGACAGGCCCAGCAACTTTGCAGTTCGACACTGGCTTGGAGAGCAGGCGAGCAGCAAAAAAGATGAATACCAAAAGGTAACGGGTCTGACCGGGGATTGAACCCGGGACCTCTCCCATTTAAGGCAAATAACCCTAAGAGAGAATCATACCTCTAGACCATCAGACCCTTGTATGCGGGTAGGTTTGACATTTGCAAACATACCACAAACACCTAATTTTGTAGGGCTCCCTTGTGCCAAACTGCTCTCCTTCTCTCTCTCGCAGCCTCTCGCACCCGCCGCTTCCTCTGCAGCGGCTCACTAGTTTGCCAAAGTCAAATGGGCACAAGCTGCCCTTCTTGCTGCCGCAACTTTGGCTGCACCTCTTCATCAAGACGGAGAGAAGGCTTCTGCGGTCAGGCAACCTATGTGAGGTACGCTCAGGGTGTGCTCGGCAGCCGGTGCCGTCCAGTGACATGTAGAGAGCACTTGCAGAGCTATCTGAGCAGTCAAAGAAAGGGAGTGAACAACGCCAGCCGCAACCTTCGCAATCTCCAATCCCACCCGCCCTTCACGTCAATGGCGTCCCCCCGGCTTAGAAGCGATGCATCGACCGCGCCATCCATTCCTCAGGCGTCGTACCATAGATTGCCGCCTTCCGAGCCGTCATGGAGGAGCCGAGACGCTGGTCCTCCTTCGCAAGACTGTGCTGGCCCGACTGTTGCTGGCTGGCCAACCATTCTTCGTAGGTCTGGATGCGAGGAATACCTTGGCCTGCTGAAGGTGCAACAGGCGAGGCAATGCCGGGGAGCATCGGAGGGAGGCCTTGCGTGCGAGTGTTGAGAACCGGAGGTGGTGGGAGGAAGACGCCGTGCCGGAGCGCTGATTGCTGCGGGGCTTGGACCACGCCAGGAGCCAAGGACCCTTGTTGGTCGTTGGTCGGAGCTTGAGAGCCAAAGTCGATGTCCTGCAGAGCGTCGTGAGGTAAGTCTACACCGAAGCGAATGTCCGACGGACGAAAGGAGTCCAGACAGATGCATAACGGAGAGACCGCAGGGAGTAGTGTTGCTGTGGATTGACGGGATCAGGAACTGTTCACTCCTGCGCAGCAACAAACGAGGAAGAAGCGTAGTGGAGCTTACCAGGACCCACCGCGCGATCGCGTCCCTCGATGTCCCCCGTTCGCAAGCCTCCTTGACACCACGCGCCGCTGCCATGACCGTCTCACGCAGCCGGGTGAGGGAATCTCCGGAAACGCCTCGCACGTCCATGAGCCGGCTGAAAATCGCCCTGAGCCAGTGGTAGAGGTCTGTTGTAGCAGGGTCCAGGTGCAAGTTCCCTTCAAGGGTGGCGGCGCTGAATTCCCCGTTTGCGTTGAGCTGGTGACCGGATACCTCGCGGAAGATTTCCCTGAGAGCAAAGCGTGTGTCGCGCCGTGCCGCAGAGTGTATACGCTCGGCGGGCATGCCGAGAGAAGGGCGGATGATGGCGGTCGATGTGAGGAGCGAGGAGAGCAAAGCGAAGGAGAGCGCAACGCAAGCGCATGGGAAAGTGGGCCGGAGAGTCCGAGGAGCATGAGCGGAAAGTCCGGCGAGCGAGTCCGCGGAGGCGGCAGGATCCGACACAAGCTTGGACACAAGCGAAAAGGACGCCAAGGGTTGCAACGAGTTGGGAGGACAGAAGTTGGCGAAGTCTGGGGTGAAGTGGCTACAAACGGCGGAGTGTAGTATTTACAGCGCGGTGAAAGCGTAGTCGGGGTTGGTACTGAAGGTGCGCGCCTGTGGTGTAGATGAGGGCGAGCAAGCGGAACGGCGGATGCGAACGCCTACTGCTTCGACGGGGCGTCGTAGGCGGGAGCGGGCTCGGCGTACTCGATGACGACGTCCGGAACCTCGGGGTACTTCTCGTCGGCGACCTCGGCGTAGAGCGGAGCCTCGGCATCGTCATCGGGAAGGGCAATGGCACCCTCAGCTTCGTCCTCCTTGGGCGACCAAACCTCCTTGTGCTTCCAGAGACGGCGGAACTCGCCGCGGATCGACGCGGTGATGACGAGTCCGACGATCATGAACGGGATGGCGAGCGTGAGAGCCGTCATGTCGAAGGCGCCGCTGGTAAGGGCGTCCTTCGGGAGGGGGATGGCGGCGGCAAAGAGGCCGAACGTGGCGACGTAAGCGAGGATCCACGACCAGAGGGCCGTGGTGAAATACGGCGTGAGGAAGCCCGACGGGCCCTTCGTGGGGAGGACGACGCCCTGCGAGAGGATCTTGGCAAAGCGCTTGCGCGGCTCGCAGGTCTCGAGCGTGACGGCGGCAGCGAGTTGGGGGTTGGCCTCGACGTGGTTGGCGTAATCGAAGCGGTAGCAGCCGACGGCCTGCGAGAACGACCGGGTTAGCGGGAGATCCGAGCGGGAGTTGCGACGGCGATACTCACGAGGACACCGGGGAAGACCGAGAATGCGAACGGCAAGATCAGGTTCATGTAACGCGTAACATCGCTCGACGTGATGCTCGCGCTGTCGGAGGCGCCGGTGATGCTCGGGTCGAGAGTGCCGTCGCCGGCAGCTCCGTCCATCCAGGCGTTGGCGACGTAGAGAATGACGAGGCCGGACAGGAGGAAGGTGAGGGCGAGCCAGGCGATCATGCACAGCATCATCACGCGGAGCGAGAAGACGCGACGGAAGGGCGAGGAGAGCGAGCGGTAGAGAAGGGCGACGGTGAGGAACGAGCCGAACGCCCAGTTGAGTTCGTAGTAGGTGGCGGCGTTGAGACCGGTGGCGAGGGCAACGGCAGTGAGCACGCGCGGGAAGGACACGGTGCCGGGCGCCGGGCGGAAATGGAGGACTATACGAGGAGGATGCGAAGTCAGGTCAACGAAGCTGAGAACGAGGAGGGGCCCTGGCGCGGCGGCTGATAAGCTTGAACTCACCGTTGCCAGGGGAGCGGAACGCCGCCCACTTGAGCGACTTGGTCATGTCGAGGAGAGTCTGCGGACGGCACGACCGGGTCAGCCTTGAATCTACACTCGAGCAGGAAAGGGGCAACGCACGCCGGTAAGGGCAGACTGGTAGACAAACGCAATCAGGTAGCGGAAGAAGATGTCGAGCTTCTTCATGTCCTGCTGCGAGATAAGCCAGAACTCGAGACCGAAGATGCTGCCGCAGAAGACGAGGACCATAATGCGGCGCGCCCACTTGAGCTTCTTGAGATCCTTGTCGTCGACCTTGGGAGCGGGTCCGAGGGCCTGCGCAGCCAGGTAGGTCTGCGAGAGGGCCACGCTGCGTTAGCTTGCGACGCCGAAGGGAGGGGGCGAGTCGAGCGCCTACGCACCTTGAGGGACCCGCGCGCGGCCATCGAGAAGCCCGTGAGAGCGGGAAGGAACGCCGTCTGCTGGGCGACGTACGTCCCGAGCTCCATGAGGGACGACATGTTATAACTGATGAGGAGAGGGTGGCGGTGTGAGCTGTTTGAGGGCGACACAGGGTCAGCGCTGGTTGGTGGTTTAGCCAGACATCTTTACTGACCTGTCTAGTGCTCTGGTGGTGCTGGTCAGGCGAAGAGTTGGGGTGCTCTTCGTGGTGGAGACGAAGAGAGGCGTCCTCTCTCGGCACAAGGAGGGTCGAACAACTTCTGCTTCTTTTGCTCTGACGGACACGTAGCACGTCTAGTTACACTCTTCTCATTCGGCCTTGACCTGTGCAGCCAAAAAGTCCGCAATCTTCCCAAGTCCCCAGTCAGGGCGAGCCTGTTCTCCCCCGTTCTTATCGCGCGAGGCGAACGGCACGATCTAGCAGTGCGTCGAGTCGTTAGCAGGACTCTTACCAAGCACGGACAAGCGACTAGGAGGAAGAGCTGGACTGACGGCGTCGAATAGCGCCCAGTCGTGCGAGGCGAGCGGCTTGACCAGCTCCGAAGGGTTGACGCCAGCCTGCGAAGGTCCACTGAGTACGTCTGTAGAATCACAGGAGGAGAGTTTCGCCCACCTGTCTGAGCGCTTCGACGAAGGCCACAATGTCGTCCGCAAAGATCTCCTGACCGCCTGAGAGAGGGGAGTCGAATCAGCTCTTCTGTCCAAGCCACACGAAGAAGACGGCGGACATACCCCACGAGACTAGCGTCCGACCGTTGCCCGGCAAAGCCTCCTTGTACCAGCTCAAGTCATTGACGACTCGCGGATTCGGGTTGACGTACGGCGAGCCAAACAGCTCGGCTCCTTCACGCTCTTTCTCAGGCTTGTCGACCGCAAGTACCGCCTCGACGAAAGCAGGAGGAGGCGAGTCGCAAGAGGGACGACCAGCGAACCAGTCGAGCGGGTTCCAGCTCGGCGCGTGCTTCCAACCTTCGAGGTCGGCCGGGAGAGCGTGAGTCGCGCCGACGTACGAGAGCGCGCCGTGGAAGACGCCGCCGTCGTCGATGATGTCGGTATGAAGGGCGGGCGAGCGAGACGGAGCGGTCGAGACGAGCTCGATGAAAGGGGAGATGAGCAGGGCGGACTGTAGCCATGTCGAGTCAGCGCTGCCACCGCAAAAGGGACTGGTCAGACCCACCGCTGGCCTGGCAGGAGTTGGTCCGAAGGCGTCCACCTGGATTCGCGGATCTGGCCTCGCCAGGTGGAGGAGGAACGCCGTAACCAGGTTCGCGCCTGCCGAGTCGCCGCCAATGCAGATCTTGCTTTCGGGTATGCCGACGACGTTGACGAGGTACTTGTAGGCTGCGAGGGTTTCGATGAGCTGGGAGGGATAGATGTACTCCGGCGCGAGTCCTGGCGGAGCGGAAGAGGCTAGGTCAGCAGTTGAAGCGGAAGGTCAAAGCCGAGTGATTAACGGCATATTCACGGTAGTGCAGGTGGAAGATGGAGAACTTGACGTCGCGCTTGTTTAGCATCTTCGCGAGCTTGATGTACGCGAGGCGCGACATGCCACCGACATCGTGGACGAAGCCGCCGCCTGCAGTCGGAGTTGTCATTCGACGTCTGCAAATTTGGCAGATGAGCGGCGTACCATTCAACCAGAAGAGGACGACCTCATCCTCCGTTCTGTCCGGCCGAGCAGGCGGTGCGATCCAGCTTGCCCGAACTCCCGCAAAGTCGACCTCCTTGACCCACTTGCTCGGGAAGCCAAGGCGGAAGACGGGCCTGCTCGGCGGGAGGTAGCAATGGAGGAAGAGATGGCGAACGAGGATGTGCCCGGCTTCCACGAAGGGCGAGCGGCCGAGGTCCTGGACGAGCGGCGAGCGGTGGCGGATGAAGACGTAATGGTAGAGGAGATGGAATGGTATGCGCAGCAGCACAGCGGTTGTTGAGAGGACGATGTGGAGTGTTGAGGCGATAGTGTGTCGAGGTCGGTGCGGGCCTTCCACGAGCTGAAGCTGCGCCTTGTCAGACAGGATACTCGACATCCTAGCGTCGCCTTGATAGACCAGGCTACTTCGCAGCCTGCAGAACCAGCAGCGGGATCGCGGGAATGTCGAGGAGGAGGAGAGGGAGTCCTCGCCGCCAGCCCGGTCGAGCTGGCGCCCCGCTTGTCGTAATGTACGACTAGCGCACAGATAGGAGACCCAGCTTCGCCGAAGCATCACGATCCACGGCCCGTGCGACGAGCTGGTTTGTGGGGGGACGAGGCGAAAGACGGCGGTTCCTCCTCAGCAACTGTCGCCGGTGCGCCGCGAGCCGGCAAGCAGTACTCAAGATGGCATCTTCTGTCCACACACCAGCCAAACAAGCCATCCTGAGCGTGAGCGTGAGAGGCCGGAGCGAGAGCTGACGATGAGCGAACTTCCTCTCAGACCTCGACGACTCGCTCGCTTGGCTTGCTAGACGTCACGAGACCTACTGCTAGGACTGATGCAAGCTTCCGACAAGAACGCGCCGCTCAAAACACGGCTCGCCCGCCTCCTCGCCGCGTCTGGCGCCACATCGCTCGCAGATCCCAAACTCGCCAGCTACCTCGACTCGAACGATGCGCTAGGACCGTTCCGTACGCAGTTCAGCTTCCCGAAGAAGCGGACAGTGTGGCCGGATGCGTATCGGGCGGAGATGGCGGCGCGCGGAGAGGCGGATCGGGATGAGGATGCGACAGAGTGTGTCTATCTCGCGGGGAACAGCCTGGGTTTGATGCCACGACGGACGCCTGAGATGCTGAGCGAGGAGCTGTCGGTCTGGAGCGCTTCGTGAGTCGGCTCAGACCAACCTCCTCCAGTTCCTCGCTGAACTTTCCTCTCAGCGGCGTCCTCGGTCACATGGACCACGCATACGGCCGACCATGGATTAAGATCGACGAGACGGTGACTCCCATTCTCGCCGAAATCGTTGGTGAGCTCGCTTCAACGCCTCGATCCAGGTCCTCCTGCTGACACAGGACTTTCCAGGTGCCAAGCCGTCCGAAGTCGCATGCATGGGCTCTCTCACCGGCAACTTGCACACGCTCTTCACGTCCTTCTATCGACCAACGCCGCAGCGGCACAAGATCATGTTCGAGGGGAAGGCTTTCCCGTCCGATGCTGTCAGTCCGCCTCTCCTCCTTCTACTCTTCACCCGCTGACTCAGTTCTTCACACACAGTACGCATTCGCTTCCCACATCGCACTGCACGACTATCCTCCCTCGTCCCTCCTCCCCGTCTACCCTCGAAATGGCGAGCACAACATTCGAACAGAAGACATCCTTCGCCTGATCGAGGAGGAGGGCGAGTCGATCGCCGTCATATGCTTCGGTGCGGTGCAGTACTATTCGGGTGAGTGGTTCGACATGGAGGCGATCACGAAGGCGGGTCGAGCAAAGGTGCGTTCCCTCCTTCTCTTCACGCGAGTTCCGCTCATCCGCTTTCCATCCAGGGCTGCATCGTTGGCTTCGACTGCGCACACGCCGTTGGTAACGTGCCGGTCAAGTTGCACGACTGGGGCGTCGACTTTGCGTGCTGGTGCTCGTACAAGTACCTCAACTCGGGACCGGGAGGCATCGCTGGCTTGTTCGTGCACGAGCGGTGGGAGGACCGGAAGCGGTGCGTGAACTACACTCAAAAGTTTCAGCATTGTCTGACGGCGCTCTCGCACAGGCTACACGGCTGGTGGGGCCACGACAAGGCGACGCGCTTCGCCATGCCCGCCAACTACGCTCCTCTGCCCGGCGCAGCAGGATGGCAGTTCTCGAACCCGTCAGTGCTGGACGTCGTCGCGCTCCTCTCGTCGTTGCAGGTCTTCCAGGAGGCATCGAGGGCCCTCCCTCGAGCTTTAGCGGGCGGGCAAATCTCGGGTCGCGGACCGATCCTCGGCGCCTTGCGTGAGAAGAGCATGGACTTGACGGGCTACCTCGAGCTGTTGCTCACTTCGAACCCGTACTACCGCGCCTCATCGTCGTTCCCGCCCTCCTCCGCCGCTCCCGCCTTCACCATCATCACGCCCCTCGACCCCTCTCGGCGAGGCTGCCAACTCTCGCTCCTCTTCCACCCCGTCGAGTCAATGGACTGGATTTTCGATCGGCTGCGCGAACGAGGCGTATTGGGCGACGAGCGCCGACCAGGCGTGATCCGCTTTGCACCGGTTCCGCTGTACAACAGCTGGTCGGACGTGTTGCAGGCTTCGCAGGCGCTCGAGGAGGCAATCAAGGCGTACGAGCAGTGGAGCAGGGAGAGTGGACAGGTCGGCGAGGTTGCGCAGGCGCTCGAGGAGACGAGGATCCGGCCTGGAGTCGTCGAGGACGAGGGGTTGCGGCAGTAGATCCGGGTTCTCTCCACGCCAGACCCTTTACAGCGTCGTCTCGACTGCATTGCACGAATCAGAAAGGCATTGGAAGCCGTTGCAAGCCGTTGAAGCGAGTCCAAGTCGGCGAGGGACTTGGGTCGTTCGCGACTTGCGCGGCGTCGACCTCGACACACACTCTCACACGCTCGCACCCACCTGGACCCGCTCTGCTCGCCTGCTAGACCCTCTCACATCTCTCTCTGACCCGCCTGACCTACCCACACCCCGCTTGGAGCCATGGTGCGTCCCCCTCCTGCTCGTCATCAACTCGACTCTCTCGCGGAGCTCACACGCTCGGTGGGGCGGGGCAGTCCTCCATTGGAACAGGCTACGACCTCTCGACCTCGACGTACTCGCCCGACGGACGTATCTTCCAGGTCAGTCGTCTAGCTCTTTCGACCTCGTCCCCCCGCTTGCGTACTCCCAAGTCAGAGGCGAGGTTGAGGGATCTGCAAGGGCCGGCTGACCGCTTTGTGTACTCTCTACAGGTCGAGTACGCGAACAAGGCTGTCGAGAACGCAGGGACAGTGATCGGCTTGCGGTGCAAGGACGGCATCGTCCTCGCGGTCGAGAAGCTCGTCACGTCAAAGCTGCTCGTCAAGGGCGCCAACAGGAGGATTGCGACGGTTGATTTGCATGCGGGAGTGGTGCGTTCGTCCGGCCCGTGGGTTGCGAGAGAGTTTGGCTGACCTCGATCTTCCCTTGGAACGCCCGGTGGACTCGCAGGCCACGGCAGGCTTGCTCGCAGACGGACGGCATTTGGCGGGACGGGCAAGGGACGAGTGCGAGTCGTACCGGGACAACTACAACACCCGCGTGCCCACCAAGGTGAGCAAGCGTTCGCCGATACTTCAGGCTGGGCTGCGCTCGCTCGTCCCGCGCCAAGTCTGTTGGTAGCATGCACGTTGCTTACAGACGGCCCTCTTATCAGATTCTCGCCGAACGCCTCGGCCTCTACTTCCAAGCCTACACGCTCTACTCCTCCGTCCGTCCGTTCGGCCTCTCGGCCATCCTCGCAGGCTGGGACTCGCCCATCGAAATTGAAGGGACGGACCAGGTCAAGGAGCGGCGGGCGGAGGGCAAGCCGGCGCTGTACATGATCGAGCCGAGTGGGACGTTCTGGGTGAGTTCGGGCGCGCAGCTTCTTCGTTCGCGCGTTGTGCTTCAGTGCAAAGCGGAAACTGATCGGCGTATTGCGCCGACTCGCAGGGCTACCGAGGATGCGCGATCGGCAAGGGCAGGCAGCTGGCAAAGACGGAGATTGAGAAGCTCGACCTCGACTCGCTGACAGCGGAGGAGGCGCTCGTCGAGGCAGCACGGATGTGAGTGCCGCCTGATCGAACGCCGTCTCCTTCACCTAGAAGCGGACGGCACTCTCCGTTTAGGGTGTCGGCTGCTCACGCTCCTTTCTCTCGCGAACAGCATCCACACGGTCCACGACGACGCCAAAGACAAGGACTTCGAGCTCGAGATGACCTGGATCTCTCCGCAGAGCGGGTGGCAGCACCAGCTCGTGCCGAAGGAGCTCGCCGAGCAGGCGGAGAAGAAGGCCAAGGAGCTCATCGACGCTGCGAACGAGATGGAGGAGTAGACTCGCGCTTCTCTCGCCAACCGAGCGAGATGTAACATTTGCAGCATACGGTACGGCATCTGTGAGGCGTTGCTGCTGGCTCGCGTTTGGAGACGCGGACTTGCGAGAAGCGGGCTTGCTCTCGCGTTCGACATACGGCGCCGACATTCCCACTGCTGACTTAGCGCGCCGTGTTGTTCGCTGCTGCTGCTGCTTCTCTGCGCGCACCCTTCGTGATTTCGACGAACGAGTTTCGACGTCTTCTCCTATCCCAGCCAGCGTGCGCCGACTCACCTCCTCCTCCGCTCGCAACTCGTACGAAAGCGGACGAGAGGCAATTGCGTCCTCACAGCGCTCCTGATCCGCAAATAGCGCTTCTTGGCGTGAATCGGGCCGGGGCGAGGTTCTTGAGCAGCGCCCTGTTTGAGACACCCGCCCGCAGCACGAGAACGACGTCTGCTCCCGTCGCTGGAGTGTCGCTGGAGGGACGCGGACGACGTTGTGTGTGTGTGCGTCGACGTTGTTCGTCGCGTGTGAGATACGGCGAGCGCTGTGGAGACGGTGTGTGGAGACAAGCGTGAACGAGGCGGGGTCCCTGGGTTGACCGAACTTCGAAACTGGGGCAGACGGAGCCAGAGCCTCTCTTCTTCTTCCTTTCCTGCGTTGCACTCGTCGCAAGCAACGACAACAACGAAGCGAACACACGCCATCTAACTCGAAGACCCCGCCAGCCAGCCATGCTCGTCGCCCGCACTCCCCCCTCGCCCTCGCCAACTCCCTGCTTCTCGCGCGACTTTGCCGGACATGCCAACCCGACTCCACGTCGTCCAGACGCCCCAGTCCGTCGACCCAGCGCACTCCGCAACGCCTCGAGCGACCACATCCTGACGCCCGCCGTCCTCCGCTTCGACAAGAAGGTCGCCAACATCCCGAGCCCCTATTCGTACGACGGGAAGCAGGCTGGTGCGCCCGCACCGCAACCTTCCAATCGCGGTCTCTCGCTCGACAAGCTCCCTGCCTCGTCCACGAACATCGCAACGTCGCCGAACGAGAAGGTCCCGTCTCCGCCGACTCGCCCGTCGCTCAACCCACTCGCCAACTCGCCCTCTCCTCCGCCCTCTTCAGGCTCGTTGCTCGCACGACGCCGCTCGTCACGCACCACCTCCCGACCCGACATGATCCCCTTGCTCACCGACCTCAAACTCGACGACCTTCCCACCCCGAACCTCAACGAACTCGACGACACCATCCGTCCCGAGGTCATCGGCAAGTCGAGCCACGCGCAGACGCCCTCGACGGACGTCCTTTCCCCGACGACGGTCAGGCGCATCGAGAAGGACGGCGCGCAGGTCGTCGAGATCGACTTCAAGCCGACTCGCTCATTCGTGCCGACGCCCTTCCCGTCTGCGCGGAAGGACTGGCTCGACGAGGACGACCAAGACGAGGAGGACGAGGACGACACCAATGCAAATGCGGCGAAAACGAAGCCCGAGGCGGCGTTCAGCAACGACGGGACAAAGTGGCTTCCCTTGCTCGAGCCCGTCCCCGTCGTTCCGGCGCCTTAGCAGCGCTTGTCAAGTTGCTGCTGTTAGCTCTTGTTGTACCCTCAGTGAGTCACGCTCTCCTGTTCCCCTCGAGGTCAGCGTCACTGAACCCTTCCCTCTCGCAGGTCTGTCGATACCCGCATCTTGGCATATCTCCCCTCTTCGACGTCCCTTTCCCGGCTGTGCCGTTCCCTTGTCGTATACTTACTCTCGACGTGCTCTCCGAGTCGCCCTTAGCGAGCCCTGGCGGTTCTTGCAAGCGATTTCTCTTCCTGACGAGCGACGAGATGGAGAGCAACGCATCAAATCCGTGATGCAGTGAGCCTAAAAGTCGACAATGCCTCCAACGCTCAGCGTATCCGCAGCGACCTTGATACCCCACTTGACCACCGTCCTCTCCCTCTCTCCCAACCTCCCAGCCCACTCACCCATCTCCTCCGCATGCACTTCAAAAAAGTACCCCAGCCCCTTCTGCAACCTCGGATTCGAAGCAGACTTGACGAATACCCGCTCGACGGACTCGCGGTCTTTGCGGGTCGTGGAGGGCGGGAGGGAGAAGGCTGGTGAGGGGGTTTGGGTGCCGAGGAGGGTGAAGATGAGAAGTTGGGAGAGGAAGAAGGTGGTTTTGGTGAGGGTGGAGTTGAAGGGGACGGGCTGGGCACGGCAGGGTCAGCCTCGAGAAGGAGAGAGGGAGCAGGAAGCAAGCGCACCTTGAGGATATTGATCGCCAGCGCCTCCTTAGCGATACACCAAGCATACAACCTCGCCAAATGCGCCATCCTCCTCTCGGAGACCTTACTCCCCGCTCCTCCAGACCCATCCACCGCGTCCTGCATCGACTTGACCAGCTCTTCGCCGCCGACGCTCTTCTCGCCTAGGTCGCGGAGGAAGTCCCAGAGGAGGTATTGGAGGGTTATTTGGAAGGAGTGCGATTTGGTGCAGAGCCGTTGGGCGACGAGCGTGTAGTAGGGGTTGTAGGTCTTTTCCTGCGGACGCACGACGGGTCAGAGGCGAAAGGACAGAATCGCAATGAGACGACGCACGTTGCCGCAGCACTGCAGGAGTACGCGGGCGATCTCGCGCTGCTGGACGTCGGACAAGCCAAGCTGGAGAAGCCGTTCGCAAGCGTCGATGTAGTCCTGCGCATGCAAGCCTCGTCAGCACACGTTCGACACTCACCATGGATGTGAGACGTACCTCGCTGCTCATCAAAACATTGAAGATACCCTTCCTCACATCTGTGTTCATCCCCTGCTGCCTCGCAAGTTTCGCCAGCTCCTTGTCCCCTTGCGCCTCCTTCGTCTGCAAAACCGGCAGCGTCGCTCCGCCCGTCGACGTCTTGGCGAGCGGGTCGCCGGACCAGGCTGCGCCGACGAGCCACCATTTGCCGCGGGTTGTGGAGGCTCGGATCTCGGAGAGCGAGACGCGCAAAGCTTCGGGGGCGGAGCCTGTGGAGCGGGACCGTCAGCACAGCTGAGTGGCGGTGGAAGCCATCGCAAACGCACCAGTCGCACGCTTCTTGTTCAAGCCGACCAAGAACTTCTTGAGCTGCGAGTAGTTGTCCACCGCACCGTCCGCGCCAGGCTGCTTGAACTTGTTATTCTTGAGGTTCGTGAGCTGCTCGACCATGAAGCGGGTGCGGGAGCTGCAAGGTTTGAAGTTAGCGGGGTGAAGGAGGAGGAGCAAGAGGGAGGACTGACTTCATCGAGGCAGGGTCGACGCCTTGCATCTTTTGCTTGACGAGCGAGATGATGTCCTTCAGCGCCGACGGGTCGTCCGAACGGAGTTGCTGACCGCAGCCTGAGCGGAGGAGTCCGTCAGCACTGGACGAACTAGCGACCAAGCTAAAGACTCACGCTTGATGATCTTGCTTAGCAGCTCGACCTCCAACTCGCCCAGTCCGCCCTCGATGAACACGCGCACAAAGTCGTACACCAGGCCGCAGTGGACGACCTGGAAGTTGTAGAGCTCGGCGACGAACGTGACGAGATTGAGGCACTCTTTGCTCCCCGGTCGTCCTTCGAAGCCGTCCTCGTCCGTCAACCCACCCTTGGCTGTCTGAGGCGCGTGGGCGGCATCGACGTGCTTCTTCAGCGCTGCGTCGAACAACTCAACCGAGCGGGCGACCACGCCAGCCGGAAACTCAATGCCGACCGTGCGGAAGAGGGCAGCAACGAGCGCTGCGTACGTGATGACGAGTTGCTCGCCAATGTTGTCGCGGTCAGAGATGATTCCGAGGAGGATGGAGGTCAAGGTGGTCGAGACGACAGCGCGAGGATTGGTCGAATAGAGCGACATGAGAGCGTCGACGATGGCGGACATGTTGGTCGCTGAGAGCTTGTTGAGGTGGCCCTGAATCTGGCGACGCAGGCGAGGGTCCTCAGGCGGAGCATCAAGCGCCTTGGCCTGGGGAGGAGCGGGAGTTGAGGAGGCGGCTGCCGCTGCTGCTGCCTCAGCGGCTTTGCGAAGATGCGGCGGGATGTAGCGACCAGTCGCAGGCGCCGGGGGAGCTGCCGGTGTTGGCTCAGCGCCTTGAGGAGCCATAGGTTCCGTCTCCGCCTCGTCCGCAAACCGCACTGTGCGCGCCCGCTCATCACCCTCGCCAGCGTCATCCGCCTGCTCCTCATCGTTGATCTCCTCGTCATCCTCCTCAAAGTCCGACTCGTTCAGCATCTCCTCGTCGTCGTCCGAGCCTTCACTGCCCAGTTCGCCCATCTCCTCGTGATCATCGTCGTCGCTCGGATCCCGCAACTCGTCGTCCGACACGCCGTACTCGCCAAACGCGTCATCGTCGTCCGCCGAACCCGCGTCAAATCCCGCAAAGTCGTCAGCGCTTTCGCCTCCGTCGCCGGAGGCAAGGTCGTCAAGGTCGAAGTCGGACGGGAGGTCGAGCTCGTCGGCCTTCTCTCGTAGCAGCTGGGCGTAGTCCTGCGCCGGACAATCTCGTCAGCGTGTGGCGTACTCGTTGGAAGGAAACGCTGCGAGCCGCACCTTCTTCGTCGCGCCAAACGCCGCTCCCTCGAGATCGTCAAGTCCCTCGAACAGCTCTGGGACCGACAGTATGCGTCAGCGAGCGGTTCAAGATACGCTACTGCTGTGTACGCACCTCCCAGCCCTTCCTCGTCGAACTCTTCGCGCATCTTGCCCTTCTCCGACGAGGAGAGCGATCTTCCCATGCCCAGCTTGGCCTCGAGCCACGCAATCTCCCTGTCCTCGTCCGTCTCTGTCTTTGACTTCTTCCTCGCCGGGTCGGGTCCTTTCCCTCGCTCCTGCTTGGCGACCAGCCTCTCGAGCGCCGTCTGCTTCTTCTGTGGTTTGGCATCTGCCTCGTCCTCCTGGTCGACTGCGAGCCGCGCCTTCTTCTTCGCGGGCTTGTCTGCCTTCTGCGCAGGCGCAGCAGCCTTGCTCGTCGAAGCGACAGGTTGCCTCGGCTCCGCCTCGTCCTCGTCTTCGTCCCGTGACGCCCGCTTCTTCCCCTGCTGGTGCTGCGCCTTGTTCTGCTTGGCCTGGCTGCGCTCAGCCTTGCGCCTGTCCTTCCTCCCAAGCCTGCCCGACCCCTTCTGTGGCGCTATATGTCCGAGCTGCTCGAGTTCGTCGCGGAGCTTGGCGGGCAGAGTCGCTGTGCGCTTGCGCGCGGCGTAGTTGACTTTGCGCTGCTGTGGCGGCATCGTCGAGCGTGTTAGCAACAGTCCCAGCGAGGTGTGAGCGAGTCCTTCGTATCCAACCTCCTCCATGAAACTGATGAGAAAGGTCAAGTCGGGACAGGTCACTCTTGCACGCTCGATAGACCCGCAGAGATGCTCGGAACACGGCTAGCAGGCTCATTGTCACGGCTGGCAACCGCACGACCACCGCCATGCCCCTGCCTCGCCCACACCACCCCGTTCCCCTCCCTTCGTTCTCTGCCTCGACCCCGAACACGGCCATCGCAGCGGTTTGCATCGTCGAGCACGGCGCAGGAGGGTGCACGGAGACCAGTAGCCGGCGGGAACGTGTACCAGCGGGCGCGGCAGGAGCACTACAAGCAACGGAACCGCTCTCTCCTCCTCTACTCGGCAGCGACCGTCCTCGTCGTCACAGCCGGATCCTACCTCGCCGTACCCCTCTACCGCGTGTTCTGCTCGACGACGGGATACGGAGGAACGCCCGACACCGACTCGTCCAAGTTCACGCCCGACAGGCTCATCCCCCGAACGGATCTCGACAGGCGGATCAGGGTCACCTTCAATGCGGATGCGAGTGATGCACTCCCTTGGTCGTTCGAGCCACAGCAGAAGGAGGTCAGGGTGCTGCCGGGAGAGACGGCGCTTGCGTTCTACACGGCTACGAACCACTCGAGCGAGGACATCATCGGAATCGCCACCTACAACGTGACGCCGCAGAACGTGCGTCTCTTTCTCTCTAGCTTTTTTCAGCGACACAGACTGATCCGCACTTTGCGCCGCGCAGATCGCGCCGTACTTTGCCAAGGTCGAATGCTTCTGCTTCGAAGAGCAGCGCCTCCTCGCTGGCGAGGAAGTCGACCTCCCCGTCTTCTTCTTCATCGACCGCGACTTTGTCGACGACCCGCTCATGAAGGACGTCCGCGAAGTCACGCTGAGCTACACCTTCTTGTGAGTGGGGATGCCGCAATCGTGTCAGGCTGCGGTTTTCGAGCAGCGATACTGACTAGGCTAGTGCTTTCCACTTTCAGCCGCGCACGACGAGACTCCTACGGCAACCTCGTACCCTCAGAAGGACCCTTAGCTGTACCCAACTCTGTCCCTGCCGTGTAGACTTTCCCCTCGCATCTCGCAACTCGCAGCTCTCGCATTCAGCACTTCTCGCTCGGCCCGAAGGGTGGAGATAGGAGAAGCTGATGTATAACAATGCTCCGTCTCGTACACTCCGCCGTAGCCTCCGAGCTCTGCCTCCTCGCTCACTTCTTGTTGCGCTTCTTGACCTCCTGCACAGCGGACGAACTGCCGTCAGCTCTGACTGCTCCTCTCATTTAAGCTAGCCTGAACAGTGAAGAAACCGGGAGCGCACCTCATCCTTGCACGGGTGCAAAAACACCTTGTTGACGAAATCAGGCTTGTTGCTCATGTGTCCGCCAGACCAGTCGTTCGTGACGGCGTAGGCGAAGATGCGACCTGTGTGGTTGAACGAAGTCGAGGCGATGGGTCCGCCCTTGTTTTCGAAAGCTGTGGGAGAGGTGGACGAGGGTCAATGCCCGTGGCGGCAGGACGACCGCCAAGTCGCGCCCTGCGGAGGAAGCGCGACAAGGCGGAACGCGATGGCCGCAATCAGACTCACTCTTGAGCCTCGTCTTGCTCTCCTTGTCCCAGAAGTTGATAGTCCCGTCGCTTCCAGCCGTCGCGAACGTCCCGTAAGGGTGGAACTGGATGTCGTTGACCGCGTAGACGGACGACGACTTTGATGGCGCCGGCTCGTCTTTTCGGTGGCACTGCGGGGGGAGGGGCATCAGCGAGTGAAGGGAGGGAAGCGAGTAGGGACGAACCTTGAAGGTGAAGTTGTTGGCGGCGGCTTTGTCATCGACGTGCCTGCAATACTACGCATCAGTCTTGTCTCGAGGATGCAAGCTAGGGCGGCCGCACTGGATAGCCACTCGACCCTCGATTGTCCCGACCGCATACCCCGTCGCATCCGGGAAGCACGAGATCTGTCCTCCAAGTCATCAGCTCATCCCGCCCCAGGGGTCGTGAAAGGGACGCACGACCCGGGTCTGCCATCGCAGCGGACTGGTGATAGTCTTGAACGCCTGAGTCGGCTGGTTGAGGTTGAAGATCTGTATTTGTCGCTCGGCGGTGCCGACGACCATGAGAGGGTAGACGACGTCGAGGGCTGCGAGTGGAGAATCTGTGAGTCTGAGAAGCGGAATGGGGGAGAAGGACGCACTGTAACACCGCTCGGGCAGCTGGACGGTCGCGACGGGATTGGGTGTTCGCAGGTCCCAGTATTTGAGCGTCTGCGAGCGGTTTGAGGTCAGTTGAAATCGTCACAGCGTATTAAGTTGACTCACCTTGTCCCACGAGCCAGTCACTTGACGAACAAACCGAAAGTCAGCCCTCTTCCGCTCAAAGTCACGCCAGACTCGCTCGCAAACTCACCCAACATCCCCTGCCCGTTCGCCTCGAAGTACTTGACGCATCGGATCGGCTCGTCGTGTTGTGCGATCTACCGGGAAAGGCTGGGTGAGCTGGGAGATTGAGGAAGTCTGAGGAGGAAGAGGGACGGACCTGCTGCGTCTGGCCTGTCTGCAGGTCAAACATCCGTGCGGCCTTGTCTGCGCCTCCCGAAATACACTTTGTCCCGTCCTGTGCACGGCGCAACGAACATCACGCAGGGCGAAAGCGTTTCGACAACCATCAGCTTCGAGTCCCTTGATCCGCCCAGCGGGTCACAACAAGCGCAGCGCACCTTTGACCACTGCACTCCCAGCACCGGTCCCTCATGGCTATACGCCGCCTTCCCCACCGCCTGTCCCTGACTATTGACCTCATACAACCTAACCTCGTTACTCCAACTCGCGACGGCGAGGATATCGGCTGTCGGTGAGAAGGACAGGGAGGAAGTCGAGTCTGTAGGGAGGTTGGGGACTTCGATGTCTTTGGGTTCGAGAGAGGCGGCGGGGCGCGCGCCGAAGAAGGACATGATGGTTTGGCGAGAGTGATGAGGAGGAGAGGGGAGTTCAAGCGGCGAGGAAGCGAGAGCGTGCGGTCTGTGGTGCTCTGTAGCGTGCGTAGCAGTGCTCTCGCGTGCTCAGCAGTCCAAATAAGCGACGTCGAGCGAGTGGAACTACGCCAAGTTGCTCTCCGCCGCATCCTTCGACGGCGACCAAGTCATGCACCACGACTGACTGGCTTGTGTACGCTTGCAACGCCGTTCAAGTCATCTCACAACGACGAGCCATTCGTCCCCGCAAAGCCCGCTACCCTCCCTGATCCCCCTTCCTGCTCTTCCTCTCGAGTCTCTCTTCGAGCACGGCAAGCGAGACGGAGGAAGACCAGTGTCTGCATTGCTAACAGAACACGCAAGAACGAGAACCGAAAAGGACCGTAGGAAAGAGCGAACACATGTGGGTGAAAGAACGAAGAGACGAGGAAGAGGATGCGGTAGCTAGGGGTATATACGTGCGCAGTAAAGAGTGCGAGATGGGGTGTCTATCTGTCCGTAAGTAAGGAGCGATTGAAAGTGAGAATGAGAGTGGAGGGGTTGAAGCCAAGAAGCTACGCGACGAGGGAATACAAGAACCTTCTCCTTCTAAGCCTCGAGCGAGTGTCTAAGCGCCATTCACGCTCACGCCAACACCGCCATCGCCGCCACCACCGCACCCACCGCCGCCGCCCCCACCGACGCCCAAACCTTCTCCGCTCCAGACGTAGCCTTACTACCCGTGGCCTTAGCCAACGCCTCCTGCGTCGAGGAAGTCGTAGCGGGCGTCGAAGGAGGCGGGAGGGTCGAGGTGATTGTTGAGATGGGGGCTGAGGAGATTGTCGAGGTTGAGGAGGAGAGAGGGAGGGTCGAGGTGCTGTTTAGCGTTGAGGAGGAGAACGAGGAGGAGGAGATGATGGAGGAGGACGAGACGACGGAGGTGGTCCAGCTTGAGGAGGCCGAGGCCGAGGCGGACGACGACAAGCCGGTTTGGCTCGCGGAAGAGGCGGCGGCATTGCTGACAGCCGACGGCGACGAAGCGGTAGTCGTCGCGCTGCGTTCCGCTCCCTGGTCAGCTCATCCCTCCTTATCGTATGAATCAGGCAGTCGTCAACTCACGCAGCAGGCGCCGCCACGGCCGCTCCACCAACAGTCGGCACAGCCTGACAATTGCTCGACCTACCCGCCGCATGCGGGGTGGGCGCCGCGCCCTGCGACTGCTGGTACGTCGAGAGGCCGCCGCCTGGCGCGGAGTAGATGCCAGGAGGGAGGTCGGTGCCGTCACCTTGGCAGGTGTCGAAGCCGGAGCCGTACTGCGCGCGAGGGGAGAGTGAGCGGAGTGAGTTTGGAGGAGACGGAGGAAGACGCACGTTGCCGGGCTCGTTCCATGCGCAGCCTTGCTGTGAGCGTGAGAGGAGATTGTCAATAAACCCTTCCGCAACAAGAACCGAGAGATGATCCCCAAGGCGAATCAGTCCTCCGGAGGAAGCGGGCGCGCTTACCAAATCGTAGATGTGCTGGCACCCTGCACGCTCGTCAACGCATTAGCACCCGCACTTACTCGAGCGAGAAACGAAGAGGGCTCGACGCACAAAGCCACGCATCGCTCGCATCATGACAAATCCTGAAGCAAAACTCCTTGTCGGAGATGAATGACGTCCATTCGTGGATCTGCTGGCCGCCGGAGAAGCTGTTTTGCGGGACGGGGACGAAGAGAGTCAGGATTTGCGGGTGTAAAGGAGAGGGGAAGGGAAGGGGACTTGCACGAGCGAGCCGACTGGGTTGCCGTTACCCGTGGCGCTGCATACCTTGAAGCGTAAGTACGCGAAACGAGGAGGAGAACGGCGGAGGAAAAGGGGAGGAAAGGGCGGACGAACCCGTGCGGGTCGAGCTCGCCTCCGTCATCTCCAGGCTGGATGTTGATCTTGGTAAAGTCTCCTGTGCCGGTCACTTGGCTGTCTCGCCCGAACACGAACGCAAGGGAGAGGAAGGTCAGTCTCTCGAGGGAGGAAGGAGGGAAGAAGGGTGAGGGAGGCGGACGGACGTGTAGTGAGGCGTGACGAGCATGTGGGCCTATCGATAAGGCTGCTGTGAGTATGCGCATGAGCTGGGAGGAGGGAGAAGAGACGCACCGAGTGGATCGTGCCCTGCGGCATCAACCGCGCGCCGTGTCCTGTACAACCCCGTAGCGTCAGCTTCTTATCCTGTGCGCCGTACAGAGGAGGACTGACCAGACGCAGTGCACCAGGCGACCTCTGCATCGCCCACACGAGTGCATTAGCGCGGATCTTCGACGGGACGGAGGAAAAGTCCTGCGCACCGATCTCTTCCGTGTCGCCGATGGATCCGCCGGGCGTGGGAGGTGCCCAGAGGCAGAAGTCCTATACACGCAGCGATTGAGCGTAAGTCGCACTGTCCAATCGGTCAAGCTAGTCGACCGCTCCGCGGAGGCGAGAATTTCTACGAGCTGAACAAGAGCTGGGCGACTCACGGTGACGCTGTTGACGAATGCAGTCTGGCACCTGTGCGTCCCAAGACCCGCAAGACATACGGAGCGGTGTCAGCTGACGAGACGGAGTCTCCGAAGGCGAGGAGGGTTCGACGCACATGGACGACTGGCTGTCGGTCGTGCCGCAGTCATTGTACTGTCCAAGCGTCCTTCATAGTCAGTACACTCGTTTTGGGCGGCTCAACACGCGCACGAAGACCGCCATCTTCTCATCCAACCCCCTCAACGCGACCCAAACACGGACCTCGAGGAAGTCGACTTACGCCAGTCTGGCCGTTCTCGCTCTGGTGAGGGAGGTTTCCGAGGCTATAGGACGTGTAGCCTGCTGCGGCGAGGGGCAGGAGCGGGAGTGCGAGGAGCGGCGCGGTCAACATGGTGAGGAGTCTCGAGGGAGAGTTGTGGGTCGGGGCGAGGTGGGAGTTGGGCCGTGCAAGGGTTGGCGACGAGTACTAGTGAGCAGTCAGGATGGTCCTCCCCAGTCGCAGCAACAGTCCAGCAAGCAGAGAGGAGCGAGCGAGTGAGCGGTGGTCGAGTTGAGCGAGCATCCGGCGGAGTAGCCGTGTGCGACGCGTCCTAAAAATGAGCGCGCTCCGGGATCAACACATGCGCGTCGCGTGGCAAAAGGGGAGTCGAGCGACAGCTTTTGAACGGAGCAAGTGAACGAGCGAGCGAGCGAGTCGAGGAGGAGGAGGACGAGCGAGGGTGGTCTGGATGGAGATGTCTGCTTACACTCGCACACTGCACAGGGAATAGCGGGAGTACTCTGGCAGTACTGGCTACACTCTCATACGATTTGTCGAGCTGAACCAACCCAGTCTGGCGAGGTCGAAGCGGACCTCTTCCTCCTCCTCGCCTTCACCCTCGAGCTCATCCTCACACGACTCGACTCGGACGATGCACCGCTCACGCCTGCTCGTGCGCCCCTGCTCGCGCCTCCTCTCAACCAGCGCACCCACACGCGCCGCCTCTGCCGCACCCGCGTACCGACCGCCCGTCGAGCCCGGCACCCTCCCAGCGTTCGACGCCGCAGTCGACTACATCGCGCGCGACCGCCAGCAGAAACTCGACAAGCTCGAGCAGTTGAGGAAGGATGCGGGTGCGACAGAGACGCAGCTGGAGAAGCTCGAGGTCGAGGCGTGGAGCAACGACCCAGAGACCCGATGGAGGGCAAGGAACGGACTCGGTGAGTGCGAGAGACGCTCTTGCGGAATCTCGGATGAATGCAAGAGTTGGTCCCAGGGCTATGGAGGCGACACCGATGGCCCGGATGAAGTGGACCGCACATTCCGGCTCCTCAGCTTTCCTCGAGGACCTGGAGGCGATGAAGGCAATCTCGCTCTCTAAAGGCTCAGAGCGGGCTGACACTCGCTCTGGTTCCCACAGCCGACTTCTCCAAGCCCGTCTACCGGCACCTCGCCGAGCGAGCATGGCGAAACGAAGGCGACCTCGCTATCCTCGTCCGTCCCCCTCGTCCTTCCTTTCTCCTTTTCCTCCCCAAACTGACCCTTTCGACCGCGTGACCAGATGCAACGCGTGACGCAGATGAACGTCATCCCCGACGTCGTGGGCGACATCTACCCCGAACTCGACTTGCGGATCCAAATTGCAGGCGAGACGATCGAGCCGGGTGTCTTTACGCTTCCTGCGCAGGTGCGTTCGCGTTCCCCTTGCGAAGAGAGTGTGGATGGAGCTGAGAATGGCGTGTGACAGACCCGGGAAGGGATCGAGGTGTCGGCTCAGGTCTTCCACCCGGAGGAGAAGCTGTACACTTTGCTCCTCGTCGACCCTGGTGCGTTCCGTCCCTTGCCCAGCTTCCCTCCCGCTTCTAGCTCATGCGAATGCCCGCAGACGTGCCTGACGAACTGAACACCTCGTTCACCACCTACGCGCACTGGCTCATGTGCGTCCCATTCCTTCCTCTCCCCCTCTCACAAGCTAACCCGCCCATTCGCACAGCCCCAACATCCCTCTCAGCGCCACCACCTCTCCCACGCTCTCCTCCCTCCCTCCCGCCACTCTCTCCTACACCCCTCCGCACCCGCAAAACGGCACACCCTACCACCGCTACACCCTCCTCCTCCTCTCCCAACCCTCCCCGCTCTCCCTCCCCTCCGAGAGCGAGATCAAGAGGCGCGGATTCGACGTCCGTTCGTTCGTCGCCCAACACAAGCTCGAACCCAAGGGCGTCAGTTTCTTCCGCCAGGTTTGGGATAGGGACGTTAGTGCTATCTACCGCGAGGTCTTTCGTGCGTTTCTCCTTCCCTTCTTTTTGTGCGTGGGAGGTGGCTGATGCGTGCGTGCGAGGGGGAAACAGAAAAGCCTGAGCCGAGGTTTGCTAGGAGGATGCCGGACGAGGGGAAGGACGAGCAGAGGCCGCCCAAGTATGAGCTTTACTAGACGCTCTCGTGTGAAGGAAGAGGATGAGGAGGAGGCAGGGGTGTTGATCGCAATTCGCAAGCCCAAACTTGTCTTGTTCGAGCGAGAGCGAGAGTGACAGACCGAGTCTCACAAGCTCTTCTGCGTAGAGAACGAACGCGAGAAGAACGCGTGTACATAACAAAAACTACCACACCCCGATCGGGCTACTTCTTATCCTTGAGCTGGAGGGTAAGGACGTCGCCGTTGTCGAGGTTGAGCGCAGCGAGGGTCGTCGCGTTCGCGAGGAGGCGGTCGTTGTACATGTAGCGTTGTTTGCCGACGGGGACGCCGACCAGTCCCTGCTCACAATTCGCCAAAGTCAGCGAACTGCGACTGGGAGAAGGAAAGGAACGGGGGAAACGCACCGAGATCCGGTCTCGCACGGTACCGATCAACAACGTCAACGGTACCTCCAACTCGACCTGCTGTCCCTTACATCCCCACGCAGGTTTCTCGGGATAATCAGGCAACTGCACCTTGATGCGTACGGGGTCAGGGTGCGTCGCGAGCCAGTCTTCTTCAGGGTAGATGTGGCCGTCTGTTCGCCGGGCGCGTTTGGCGGACGGCTCGGAGGCGTCGAAGGAGGAGGGGAGGGGTCGGGTCGTGCCTGTTGCAGGCTCGGCAGCGGGAGCAGAGTGTGACGCGGCACTCGAGCCGGGAACGGCGTCGCCTGGGACTGCGACGGGCGGACGAGCGGGCAGGCCGGCGGGGAGAGGGGTGGGAGGCTGGGCGGGGTTGGGCGTGCCAGGAGCGGGAGAGGCGCCGGCGGGAGAGGCAAAGCCCGAGGGGATGCCGGTCGAGAGGAAGTTCTGCGATGTCGTCCGCTCGACCGTGATCTGCGCCGGCTGGGGAGCCGCAGAGATCGACGCGCCGCTCGTGAGGGTGGTCTGTTCGACGGGCGCCGACTGCGCTGCGTTGGTCGGGATTGAGGGGCCGATGTTCGACTCCTCCGTCGCCAAGACACCCTTGGCCTTGTGCAGCGCAGCAATCTGCTCGTCGAGGTTCGCCGTCTGCTGGTAGCGGAGCGTGATCGACTCCTTCGACGCGGCGTGACCGTCCCAAACCTGCTTCTCGCGCGCCCTCGACTTGGCCATCTGCTCTGCCTGTCGCTGCCTCTCTGCGTCACCAATGTTGCCGCCAAAGATGTCGGGACGGTGCGCGGCGATCGAGCGCAGCGAGGCAGAGACGTCGGTGCCGCCGGGCATGACGGCCGACGCGGCGCGGTTGAGGTCGGCCTGTCGCTTCTCCTCCTTCCACCGCGGGTCGAGCGTCTCGTAGCGAATGTGCTTGCTGAGCTCCTCGACGGGAACCTGCTGGCCTTGGAAGGTCGTCATCGCTTGGCCCGCCTTCGACTTCTTGCCTGCGAGACGGAGACACAAGTCAGCGTGCGCGGGACCAGAGAAAAAGGGACGCGACCACGCACTGCGAACGTAGTCCTTGCGGATCTTGACAGGCAAATTCGAGTCGAGCGTCTGGACCTCGATGACATCCTCGCGCTTGTATTCGACCTCCGGCGTCTGTGCCGCCTCCTCGTCCTCGTCATCCATCTCCATCTCTGCCTCCTCCGCCTCGCCCTCACCCTGGTCAGCCGGCTGCTGACCCTCCATGATCATGGCGGCCATCTTCTTCTGAGCGATCGACATGTTTTCGACCTCGGACAAGCTCATAGGCGGCGGGAGCTCCGCGATGCCCGCCTCGTCGTTCTCGGTGAATTCAATCGTCGAAGCGACCTGGAAGTCCTGCCAGTCGATTTCGGCGAAAGCGATGCGCTCAGCCTCCGCCTTGTCCTCCTCTTCCTTCCGCCGCTCAGACTCCCACTTCTCCCACTCAACGCGCTGCCGAGCGTCCTTGAGCACCTCGCGACGGCCAACGGAGAGGCGGTCGGCGCTAGAGTCGGGAGGTCCGCCGGCTCGTCGCTCGACTCGGCTGATGAGCTCCTTCGAGGGGACGAGGATCTTCGTGTACTGCTCGACGAGGCTGTGGGTTGCGCGAACGTGTCAGTGCCGTCGAGTGAGCCGCGTGGAAAGACGTTACGCACCGGTTGAAGTAGCCGAAGAGGGAGTGAGTGGGGCGAAGGAAGTCGAACTGGTAGTTGCGGGCTTCACGGGCGGCGAGGTCGGAGGTAAACTTGCGACCAGATCGTGCCGTGAAGAGCGCAGTGAGGCGGAGGATGTCCCTGACATGATGAAGCCAGGTCAGCTGGGCTCAGGGAGACGGGAGAGGAAGCCGACGCACAAGTCGACCGCGTTGATCTTGGGCGGGTCCTCCACCAAGAACTCCAGCGCAGGAGGCTCTGCTGGCCGTCCATCCGATTCGTCCTTGGCCTGCGCGCCCACGCCGTCCGCCTTCTCCTCCTCCTTCTGCTCAGGCTGCTCGCCCGCCTTGAACGCCGCCAACCGGTCCGCATAGTATGCGTGGTACGGGTCCGTGTCGTTCAGGAATGCGAAGCGCGAGTCCGTCTTCTCGCGCTGCCTGAACTTGTCCTCGAGGAGCGAGGCGTTCGCCGACTTGGCGATGAAGGCGGCCGTCTTGTCAACAATCGCCTTGATGGCCGGCGGCGGCAGGATGATGGTGCTATTCGGCACTGGTGTTGCAGTCATGTCGTCTGCGGGTCGGTGCAGGCTGAGGGAGCGGATGAACGACGAACGGGAGATGAAGTCGAGGAGGAGGTGGCGGTCACGTCAACAGGCGATACGGGCGCGCTGCAGTCGGGTCCTAAGCGCTTCTTGAATTGTGTAGAGCTTAGCAAGAGTAACCCTGTCCGCCCAGCTGTGCGGCGACCGAGTGCAGGAACGCGGTGAGAGGGTAAGCCGAGTTGTATTGAGCAATAGTAACACGTTGTATTGAGCTGAATACAATGCTCTCTTTCCTCCCCTTGCTGTCCCTCATCCTCCTGCGCTGATGCGACTTCGTGTATGCCGTCAGACAGGATTCGTACCTGTACATCGCAGTCGCAAGCCCACCAGGCGACGTCGCGACAGCTTTGCACTCGCTCCCCTGCGACGGGCATTCAACCGCTTGCCGCACACTAGCCGCGGCGCAAACTGTCTCTAGATACGCTAGGCTCCAAGCAGCATGCTCGCGTGCGTCGGCCCCACCGAACCAAGCTGCCCGCCGAGCATCTTTCCACCCGTCCTCGCCTCCTCGAGACGAGGCAAGCGCGGCCCTCTCTCTCCCTCGCGACGACCTGGCGCCAGGAGAAAGACGTTGGACCGGCCGATAAAGCTATCGCGATCGAGAGAACGTTTCACTGTATGCCAGGAGACGCTGGCTATTGATCTTGCGGAGTGAGACACCTCGACAACAAAAGAACAACGACACTCGCTCATTGCACCGGTCCACTGATTCTAGCTGACTCGCTCCTGCTCCTGCCTACTCTCTTGGCTCTGCTGCCTCCATCACACACGTTCGTCGTCCTTCCGCCGACGCCAGACGTCCTCTCCCGCCTCCGCCTTCGCAACTCGCGCGGAGTTGAGTTACAGCCCGGTTTCCAGCACAGCTTGCGACAATCATGGGTGCATGCGGCTCGACAGAGGCAGCAGGTGCCGACCAGCCGTCGATGGAGGAGGTCAGTAGATCCAAGGCGATCGACCGGCTGTTGCGGGAGGAAGAGCAGCGACAGGCGAGGGAGGTCAAGGTGAGTGGTCGCGACTGATTACATCGTTATGCCTCCGTAGCTGACAATAGCTTGAACAGATGTTGCTGCTCGGTGCGACAGCGATTTCCAGCCGCAGACTTCGCCCCTCCTCACGACTGACCTTTCTTACGAGCAGGTCCGGGTTCCAGCGGAAAGTCAACGATCCTAGTGCGCGACTCTCTTGCCCATCTTGCCTAACAGTCGCTGATCCTGCCTTGCGAATCGCAGAAACAGATGAAGGCGCGCCGACGTTTCTCCTTCGCCCAGCTCGCACGCCTGGTCTGACCCCTCTCTCGTCGCAGGTGATCCACTTGTCCGGCTTCACGGCGTCAGAGCTCGAGGCGTATCGGCAGCAGATCTTTGTCAACGTACGAGACGGGATGAGGGCGGTCTTTCAGGTCATGGAGGAAGAAGGGCTTGACTTTGCGGATTCGGGGTTGGCGGTATGGCAGACCATCACGTTCCTCTCTCAGGCCCAACGCTAATGACGTTAGGAACAGGCGAATCGAGAACTGGTCGCCACAGCTCGGGACCTGCGAGATGGCGAACCCTTTCCCTGGCCTGTGATCGCAGCGGTGCAGGCGATGGCTGCAGATCCTGCTTGCCGAGCGGTAGTAGCGCGGGGCTCAGAAGTCAGTGTACCCGAAAGGTGAGTTCTGCGCGGTCTCCCTTCAGGCGATCTGACTGACATCCGTCTTCGCTTGCAGCCTCCCCTAGTTCGTCGTCTTTCCCGCGGCCCATCCCGGTCTCACTCACTCAAACTTCCCTCGCAGCTTCCTTTCCCAGCTCTGTCGGCTAGCAGACCCTCGCTACCAACCAACGGACCAGGACGTCTTGCGGTGTCGGCAGAAAACGACAGGCGTCAGCGAGACCACGTTCAAGAACCGACACATGGAGTACCGGTGCGTCCCATCCGCCCTCTTGACTGCTGACCTAGCTGACTCGCTCATCGTCGACAGGATATTCGACGTTGGCGGACAGCGAAGCGAGCGGAAGAAGTGGTGTGTTCGCTTGCCCCGTTCAGTGTTCGCTTGATGCTCACGATTTGGCGTACAGGATTCACTGCTTTGAGAACGTCACTGCCATCCTGTTCCTCGCCTCGTTGGCAGGCTACGACGTACGGCTGTCCCCACAACTTTCGCGACCTTCGCATCTCACGCTTTCTCTCGCTGTCAACAGCAAGTGCTCATCGAAGACCGCGACTCGAACCAGATGCAAGAAGCGCTCATGCTATTCGATTCGATCTGCAACTCGCAATGGTTCGTCCGGACCTCGATGATCCTGTTCCTCAACAAGCAGGACGTCTTCAAGGAGCGGACATCCGTCTCGCCCATATCCGCTTTCTTCCCCGACTACACAGGTCCGTTGTCTCTCTTCGACACGCGGAGAAGCAGAAGCTGACGCTCGTTACCGCCCGCAGGGCCCGACCTCGATTACCACGCCGGTCAGGAGTACTTCAAGGCACGCTTCACACGTCTAAATCGTTCGTCCAGCAAGGAAGTCTGTACGTTGCGTCTCTCGGATCGAGAAGCGGACAGAGAGGCTAACGCTCTGCGCCCGTCAGATACCCACTTTACCACCGCCATCGATACCTCGCTCGTCAAGGTTGTCATGACCTCGGTCTACGATATTATCCTGAACAAGTACGCCTGAGAGCACACGCTTGAAGTGCGCCACTCGCTGACAGCCTTTCGCTCGTAGCAACCTGAACGACTTCATCCTCTAGCACTCCTCTGAATCGCTACAAACTCTCCTCCCGGCGTTACTTGCAGTTTCCTTGTTCTTCGCATTGTTGTCGTGTCGTTCATTCTCCACAAGTCCTCCGCATCTTCTGGCTTCCCGTGCACAATTCGAAAACAAGCCTTGCAACCTGCAATGGCCTCTCATCCAAAGCTCGAGGCATTGCGATGCATGCGTGTTGCGAGTACTGCTGTGTCATACACGACTCGTCAAGGCGCATTCGTCCCCTTGATACCGCCCTCCCCCTCCGTGGAAGCCATCGCCGAGGGCCGTTTCTTCAGGACATGGTCGATGATGCCTTGCCCGATTGCGCCTTCCGGCGTGAGGTAGTGGTCGCGGTCGAGCATTTGTGCTGTACCGGTGTCAAAAATCGTCAGCTGACGCACGAGAGGAAGAAAGCGGCGGGACGAACCGAAGCGTTTCCGTGCGGTTTCGCGGTCCTCGTCGCGGAACTTGCAATGGTCGGCGTACAGGTCGAACATCTTCTCTCGAATGCGGAGAATTTCGTTCGCCTGCAGGGACGGAACCGTGTGAGCGACTGATCATTAGATGGTAAGCGCGACACGCACCTGAATCGAGATGTCACTCGCTTGTCCGCCTGCGCCGCCCGAAGGTTCTGCGACACGAAGGGAGAGTCGGCTCATTGGCTCTCGTCGTCGACAAGACGAACGTACGGTGGATCATGATGGATGAATGCGCAAGCGCGCTTCGGTGTCCAGGTTCGCCTGCGGAGGGTCAAGTCAGGTCAGGTTGTTTCGGCGACAAACGTGACGGTCGGCGCACCTCCCGCCAGGATGAGCGACGCCATCGAGCTGGCCTGCCCAACAACGATCGTGTGCACCGGGCAATGGACGAATTGCATCTGCGCGCGCACGTCTCGTCAGCACTCCTCGATGCCCCGGATGTCCGAGAGGCGCACGGTATCGTAGATCGCCATTCCAGCCGTCACGCTTCCGCCTGGAGAGTTGATGTAGAGCGAGATGGGCGCCGAGGATTCGGCTTCGAGGAAGAGGAGTTGGGCGACGACGACGGAAGAGAGGGCGTCTTCGACCTGTCGGCGTGCGAGGGCATGTGAGTACCTTTTGAAGGGTCACGCGAAGGGAAAAAGGAGGACGGACGGGTCCGTTGAGGAAGACGATCCGTTCTTGCAGCAGGCGAGAGTAGACTGTGCGGAAGGAAGGGAACAAGCAGAGCGTCAGCACGCATACAGACGCTGAAACGATCCGTTCTTGCAGCAGGCTTTGCGGACGCACCATCTGACACCCGCTCTCCTCGAGGCTGTCGACCATCGCAATAAGGGAACGAGGAGTACGTCAGCCGTCCTCCGCGTCTCGCCAGCCTGTCTCGCTGTCTAGCTCAACGGACGCACCTCTCTACTGATGACATAGGGGATGATCGTTCCTCGCAGTGCCGTTGACGAGAAAGGATGGGCGAGAGAGGGTGGATGTGGGGTATGAAGGGAGGGAGGGAGAGGAAGAGACCGTAAGGCGTGACGCGCTGTCGGAGCGAGTAGTCGTGCCGTTCGCGGAGCAGCACGAGCGAGAGCAGCCATTTCGAGCGAGGTGAGCTGTGTGCGAGGAGGAGGAGAAGCGGAGGAGAAGATAACGAGGGAGACAACGGCCGCAGCGCTCGCTGGGTTCTCTCAGGCGAGCACAGAGATGGTGAGAATGCTACATGGGCGATGCGATACAACAGGCAGAACGGGCGCAGTCGACTGCATTAACACCCTCTTCCTCCCTCAGAATCGCGAGTACGCTCCAATCGTCATCCAGTTGCTCCGGCCGTCCTTGTCCTGTGCGAAGACGAACACCCCAATCAGCGACAATCCCCGGAAGGCGGAGCGGCAGAAAAGGGCGAAATCCCTGGACGCACCTTCATCTCGTTCTCGGGCTTAGTGCGGTAGAGCGACGCGATGGCGGGACTCTGCTGCTTCTTCTGCTCGGCGAGCTTGGCCTGGAGCGACGCCGACAGGCCCGCAACCGACGAGCCAGCCTTGATAGCCGGAGCAGCCGCCTTAGCCTGCGCTTCGGCCGCGGCCGCAAGCTTGTCCGTCTTGGTCTTCTTCGCCTTGCGGTCATCGCCGTCGTCCGCAGCGGGTGCCGCGTCGCCGTTCTTGCGCTTCGCCGCCTTGGCCGCCTTGCGGTCCTCCTTCTCCTGCTTCTTCCTCGCCTCCCACCGGATTTTCATCTCCTCCAACTCGTCCTCCTTCGGGTTGATCGTGACCCAGTCCTCCTTGACCTCGCTCCGCTCACCATCAACCGGACAAACCCGCTCATCACCCAACTCGCCCTTATCCTCCCCGTTCGAACCTTTCTTGTCCATCCCGCGCCGCATCTCACGCAACGCCGCCTCGCTCATCACGCACCCGCACAGCTTGCGGTACACGAACCTCACGCTGCCGTTCATCTCCCTCAGCGAGATGGGGCAGACGAACTGCGCAGGGGGGTTGTCGCCGGCGCGCGTCTCGTCTTCCTCGCCTTCGAGCGCGGGGTTGGGCGTCAGGCGGAGGGTCGTGACGTCCTTGAGGGATCGAATGTGGCCGGCGACGAGTTGACCATCGGAGCCGAAGGGAGTGGAGGTGTCGGAAGCGGTCGGCGGGTTCAGCAGGTACGAGATGATGGCTTCTTTGTTGTACAGCCGGCCGTACGGGCACGAGACGACTGGTTGCCGCAGAGGTTGCTGCATGAAGACGCCGAGACCCATCAGCAATCCAGCTTTGGCAGCACGAGGGCTGAGGAAGAGCAGCCGGCACGCACCTTGGACAGCGCACAGAAAGCCCACAGCTGCCTTACTCGGTCCTTGTCGTCCTCACGCACACGCTTCTGCTTCGACTTGACGAGGTCGACGCGCTTCGGGATTGATCCTCCGTCGTTGCCCATGGTATGCGAGACGAGGGGTGAGGAGGAGGAGGGGAAGAGATGCTTCGGGCTGGTGACGGCGGGATGCAGGCGCAAAAAGAGAGTCGGTTGAGCAGTTCGACGAGGTCGGATGAGCGGCAGTCACGAATGCAGGCGCGAGAGATGGGGTCAAGTGGCGAGGAGGCGAAGGGGGTGCAACTGGTCAGCAAGCGCTCTGGAAGCCAGACAAAGGCCAGTACGCACCTTCTGTGACCTGTTTGAGTCGACTCAGGCAGTCAACGGGCACCAGCGAGCGGTTGTCGCGAGTCGAGTGAGTGGAAGCGATGAGAGGAGGCGAAGGGACGGCGTCGAGGGGTCGTCGCGGGACGGGACTTGTTCGAGCAGGTCTAAAGCGACTTCAAGCGTGCTTTTGAGTCTATAGCAGCCAGCCCAGGCCAGCCAGAGTGCGGTGGTGAAGTCGTCGAGGTCGTGTTGACAGACTCGCGGTCGCATTCACTCTCTCGCAACGCTCAAACCGCTCTCTGCGCGCAACGACGCCGTCTGGGCTGCTGCTGGTCTCATTACGGTCACACACACCCTCCACACTCGCCGCCCAGTCCAACTCCCACGCCCACAGGTGCCGCCATCACGCTCACAACACTCGTCCCGACCTCGACGATGCCCGCACCCCGTGCAGCGCCGTCGGGACGCGCGAGAGCAGCACAGGCTCGCAAGTCTGTCGTGCCAGACCCAGACTTGTACGCCCAGTCAGACTCGGACGACGACAACGCAGCGCCAGCCCGATCCGCATCCGCTGCCGCCGCGACCAAGAAGCGCAACAGCACGGGCATCGTGCTGAAGACGGACACTGTCAAGGGAACCGTCACGGCGGAGAATGGGCGCAGGAGAAGCACGCGACTCAGCGCAGAGAGCCAGGACGCTCTCGAGGCGGCGCGCGGGGGGCCGGCCACGGGCAAGGGGCGCGGCGCGCGTGGGACAGGCAAGGCTGCGGCAAAGGGCAAAAAGCGGGCCAAGCCGGAACCGGACGAGCGGGCTGACGCAGACGAGCACGACGAGCAGGACGCGTCGAGCCGGACGGGCGGGCGGGGTGTCAAGGGAGCGAGCAAGCGGGCGCGAAAGGACGACGAGCCAGCTGAAGAGGCATCTACCAGTGCACCGGCGGCGTCTTCGAGCCAGGCAGGAGGATCGGGGACGGCACCCGCACGACGAGGCTTTGTTGTTTGTCCCGTTTCCTCGCTGCTCTACCCGCGCGAAAAGCGCGTCTTGCTGACTTTCGTATGCACGGTACGACAGCCTCGGGCTGTCACCGACTTGGCGACACGCGTCAACAAGCCTCCGCCGCAGTACTCGACCGTTCTCGTCGACCCCGAAGGAGACGACCCCGATCCCTTCCCCTTCACCACAGCCCCGCCTACCCCGCATGCTGCAGGCAAAGCAAAACGGTCTGCGACAGCCAAGCCGAAAGATGCGCCTCGGGCGAAGGTTCGTCGAGCCTCACTTTCCATCACAGCGTCGGTTCTTGCTGACCTCGGCTCTTCACCTTCTTGCAGGTCCCTCGAACGGCCCGTCAACCCTCCATTTCTGACGAAGAAGACGCGACACCCCCAAACGGCAACCCCTCTCACCCCTCCACCTCTCGCACCTCCCGCAAAACCCCTCCTCGACCCGATACCCAAACCGGCGTTTACGTGCACGAGACGCCTGTGCAGGTGAAGAATATTGCGATGAGGCAGGGGATGGGACCGGGGACGCCCGCGGCTGGGACGGCGAGGAAGAGCGTGAGGAGGAGCAGTGTGAGGGGGAGCGGGAAGAGGGGCAGCAGTATCGGGAATGGGTACGAAGGTGCGTTTGAAGCGGGCTTCTCTGCGGTCAGCTGCGTTCATCTAGGCTGACTGCTTGTTTTGTCTGTACTGGTACAGCCGTCCCTCATCCGCAAGTCGCAGACGACAAGCTCTACCGCTCTACCGACGCCGACGACCCCATCGCAAAACGACTGCGAAGCATCGTCTCGTGGGCGTCGCAGCGAACGCGGGACCGGGTGTTGCGGTCGGTAAAGGAGGGCGAGCGGGAGGATCCGGCGGTCAAGGCGGCGGAGGAGATCATGTATGGCTTCATTGACGATGTGTGCCGACTCAAGGTCGATACGTCGGTGCCGTTCCGGGTGCGTGACCAAGCTTGTCTTCGATCTTGTCGCCGACGACGCTGACAATCTCGATTCATCTGCTGGGCGACTGCAGGAACCGAGCCAGTCGCAAGATCCCGACAGTCTACCGCCTCATCCGCAGAACGAAAGCAATGCGGCCAAGATGAAGGAGCTCGAGGAGGCCTACGCAGCGTTCGTCTCGGCCGCTCTCTCCCAAACTTCAACGAGACTGACGACTCTTCCGATTCAGGATCGCGACGGAGCAAACACTGCGACAATCCCTCGATCCCGTCTACCAATCCTTCTTCGACGCTAGGACAGCCGCACATCAAACTGCCTCGACGTCCTACTCCTCGCTCCTCCCTCCCGCCCTCTCCGCATCGACATCCAAAAACCCTCCGACACCCGCAACCTACGCCGCCTCGCTCGACCTGTCGCTTCCTACGCCTACAAGTCTCGACGAAGCACTCGCGCTGGGACGGAGACTGTTGCAGGGCGAGGGAGTGCGGGAAGGTGTGCCTGCGAAGGGGAAGAAGGGCGCGAAGGGCAAGGGGAAGGAGAAGGATACAGGAGCGGCGGAGACGGCGCAGGATGTGCTACAGCGGCGGATTACAAAGGCGCAGGTCGACGTGCGTACTCAGCTCGACCGCTCACTCGATCGCAAAGCTGACTTGAGTACGAATCCGCAGACCGTCGCACTTCGACATCTCACCCACCGACTCTCCTCTTTCACCCGCCTCGCCTCGTCGTACATCGCACATCGATCCTCCGAGACCCACACCGCTCTTGCGCGACACACGCAACAGGGCCTGCTCGGTTCGACAGGCGAGACGGAGGGAGCGAAAGGAGCGGGCGAGGCAGGAGGGTCAGGCGGATCAGGTTTGGCGGCTGCGACGCAGGCGACGGTGGGTGCCGAGGGCGCGGTGCTCGACCCGCGAGACTTGCTGCGTGCAATCTCGGCGACGGATGCGCGATGAGGCGGGCGGCGGATTGTTGGCGGTTGTCGGAACTTTTCCTTGTGCTCTTTCACCTGTCTTTCCTCGAGATACCCATGCCTCTCTTTTCACTCGTTGTCCTTCCTTCCTCCTTTCTCTCACGCCTTGCGCCATCACGTCTCTTTGCAAGGGCTGTTCCCTTCTCCAAAAGGTAGATACTCCCGCTGTGTGCCTCTAGCTCTCCTGCGATACCCTTACGGTCTTATTCGAATCAGTCACTCTCGTTGTTGCCCTCGCGTTCGGAGCGGTCGCGTGTCGCAGACGAGCAGTGTTACAACAACAGAACTGGTAGAGGAATGAACGAAAGCGAAAGCGGGTCAGGACCGCCAGTACTGCGCGACGCTGTGAATGCGGTCAAGGACCGAGGTGAAGTAGGACGTGTCGTTCAGGAGCGCCTCGAACTCCTTGATTGCCTCTTCCTCCGTCAAGTTGAGCAGAAACTTGTCCTGGACCTGCGGAGGTGACCTTGGATGAGCACGAGCCGGAATCCGCAGAGAGTCCGTGCCTGTGAGAGGCTCGCAAAGGGCAGACAGCGGGTCCAGCGAGCGGCTCACCTTCATGACGGCCTTATCCGGCTCGAGCTTGATGTCGGGAATGTTGCCGTCGACCATGAGCGCCACCAAGTTGATGAGCAAGTTGGCGTTCTTCCGCAGCGTCGTGAAGCCCGTGTAGCAGAGGCTCTTGAAGCGCGCATAGTGCGGCGAGTGCATCCCGCCCATCGCGTCGACCATCTCCTTGCAGACCTTGACGGCGGGAGGGAAAGGCTTCGGGTCGCGGCCGAGAATGTAGCCGAAATCGACTGCGGGTGATACGTCAGCTTGAGGCAGGAAAAGAGCGCAAGCTGCGAACGCACCGTGGAAGAAGTGCCCGTCGGGCGAGAGCAGCAAGTTGTCGAGATGGCGATCGCCGACGCCGAGTAGGTACGTGACAACACAGTAGCCAGCTGCGGGGCGCGACAAGGTAAGCTTAGGCTCACTGAACGAGAGCGACCGAAACTCACCGCAGCTCCGGATGTACGTGTCGAGCACCTCTGGCTTGACGCCGTACGTGCCCACGCTGCCCGGATCCGCGTGGTTCTCCCTCAAGTATCCGAGCAAGCCCTGTGCGCCGTACTCGAACGTGATGTCCTGGAGCGTCCTCGACGGTACGAACTGGACCATGCCGTCCAGCGCGCCAGTCGCGAGGACGCGGTACGGCATGAGCTTGAGGTCCAAGTTCTCCTTGCGCAGGAGGCGGTCCATGAGCGTGAAGAGCTGGATGACAAGCTGGTCTTGTCGCAGGTCGTCGCCGTTCTTGAAGATGACGGGGTAGGGTTCGCCGGTCGTCGTAAGGAGCTGGAGGCGCAGAGGAAAGAGGTTCGACTTGAAGACGGAAGAGCTCTCGGCGTCGATGCCGGTGATGAATATGCGGGCATCGAGAGGAAGCGGGACGGGCGAGGAGAAAGAGCTGAGACCGGTCGAAGAGGAGTGGATGGCTGACCGCAGCTTCTCAATCTTCTTGGGCCGCGCGTCCTTTGACAGACGGAGCGAGGAGGCGAGCTGGGTGATGCGGCCGATAAACTCGCTTTGCCGCCGCAGCGTCTCCAGGCGATCGGGCTCGCCTTCCTGCTGGAGCTGGAGTGACTCGCTCCTTGTCAGCATACGAACGGTTGTATTGGAGCTTGCGATTTACGCACTTCCTGCATTCTGCGCTCGAACTTGCGCGCCACGCCCTCAAACATGCTGCCTCGCGTTTTGTCCTCCCGCTCGACCTGGATGTACCAGTAGAAGTGGTTGCCGAGTACCGGGTTACTCGCGCTGCGCTCGACGAGGAAGTCCTCGAGCGTCGGAAGCGAGTCGTGCGGCGACGCAGCCGCTGACGGGCGGAGAGACGAGGCGTGGCGGTGGATGTGCGCGTGTGAGTGTCGCAGCGAAGCACTTGGCGAGACGTGTGACGAAGTGGGCGAGGTCGACGACGGAGCCGGCTCGAATTTGAGTGCTTGGACCAGTTGGAGCAGGTACAGCATGAGCTCCTGCGCGGTGAAGCGGAGGATTAGCCTCCGGTGAGTGAGACTGAATTGTCGACAGCGCACCTCGTCATCCGCCCGCTCCAGCTGCCGCACCGCATAAGCCCTAACCCTGGTATCCCGGAAGCCCTCCGCAGGTCCCAGCAACTCGAGCGCATCATCCATCTCGATCTCGCTCCACATCGGCAGCAAGGTCTCGACCGCCTGCTTCGCCTCGCCCGGGTCGGACCAGACGACCGACTTGAGGAACTTGGTGAGAGCGCGCTTGTCGCGCGTGAGGTAGAAGCGGAACTTCCACAGCAGGTCGCGCTGCGGGGTCGCGAGTTCTTGCGTTGGCGGATACCGTAGGATCTCCTGGAGTGCGAAAGACGAGATGAGCCACGTCATCCGCGTCACGCATAGCCGAGACAAGCCAGTCCCGCAACGCACATTCAGCTCATCCCGAATCTTCGCGTTCGGCTTCAACTCCCTGTCGAGCGGTCCATTGCGATGATCTCGCACAAGTCGGCGGTGCTTGGCCTCGACAGGGTTCTTGCGCACGATTTCAGGGTCGACGATGGTGAAGAGCGAGGCTTCGGCCGCTTGTTGGGCGGAGGTGCCGGCTGAGGTGGAGGAGCCTTGGGCTGTTGCGGTGCTCGTAGATGGCGGGACGGCGACAGAGGAGAGGGCAAGAGAGGAGAGGACCGGGAGCGGGTATTCCTGCACAGAGCATGCGTCAAGGAGGGAATCTGCGAGACGTGAAGCGGGCGACGCACGGGTTCGCAGAAGACGACGGGAAAGTCGAAACGTGGAAGGTCGATGTAGAGGAACAAGTTCTCTGACTTCTCCGATTCGGCCTGAGCGAGGAAAGCGACTCAGTCGACGGAAGAAGAGGGGATCGGCGTGAGAGCGGGCGCACCTTGTGAATCTTTTCGATCTGCCGGAAGGCAAGCTTGTCCAGCCAGTCCAGCCGAGGGATGTCCCCTCTCTCGTGCTTCTTGACGAGCTTCTCGAGCCGTCCCATCTCGTCTTTGAGCCCGACCTTGCTCGGCGTCTCCGTCTCGACGCTTCCGTCCGCCGCCTTTCCCTTCCAGAGGAACAGCCTCTGCTTCCCCTTCTTCAGCGTGCACTTGTTACCGAAGAGACGCAACGTCGAGCCTCCCACAACAGCCAACTCGCCCGGTCCTGCGATGTCGTAGACAGTAACGGCGAGTTGCGATCCGAGAGGCAGGTCGCGGTATCTGATTGGGAGGGTGATGTGCTCGTTCCAGTCGATCTGCGTGCGAGACTTGAACGCTTTGTGCGCCGTCTGGACAGGCGGGATAAGCGGCTTGTTGTCTGCCCACAACTCGACGCGGACGAAGAGGTCGGACGGGAGCTGCTGCTGGAAGCCGTGGTGCTTGAGCTCGGGGTGGTCGAGGAGGTCTGTGAGCGGTCTCTGGGGGATGTGGCCCTCAAACGAGGCGACCTTGATGGCGACGAGCTGTGCGAGGTCTCCATGCTTCAAGAACGAGATCTGCGAGTCGTACGACGCCGACCCGGGGTGCGCGAGCGAGTCGAGCCCAGATTCGAGCGGCATGGCACCAGCTTGCGACCAGTCTCAGCCCAGCAGAGCGCGCAGCGAGCGACTTGATGATGAAGTCGACGTCCGAGAGGTGGGGCGGAGGACTTGGAGAGGACACACCCCTCGACTGGCTTCGCTGCGACGCTTGACAGGACTGCTAGACCTGCGCTGGCCCGCTCAGCATGCCGCCCAAACAGGCGTACAACCCAGTGTCGTCCTCGTCCTTCCTCGACCTCAAGGCGCAGATCTCGTGAGTCCGCCCGTCTCTCCAGCGCGATGAAGCGCAGCTCACCGTCGTTACGACCACAGGAAGCACGAGGACGACTTCAACATGTCGCGACAGTCGGGCAAGCCAGCAGCGGTCGTCGGAGGACTCCCGCGACAGGTCAAGAAGCTCCCGGCCTGGGCACGGTCGAACAAGGGGCTTGCGGAACGGGCTGCGCGAGATCAAGTGCTCTACGAGGAGGACGTGCAGAAGGGAAAGGACCCGGCGAAGATCAGGGAGCAGCTCGAGAGGAAGGCTGCCATCTACGACAAGATCCGGTGCGTATGCCTCGCTCGCCGCCGTTATGATCAAGCCTCTGACCCCTGCATGTGCCTGCAGGAAAGGCAAGACCGGTGGGCTGAGCGAGGCGCAAATCGAGGCGCTGCTTGTCGACTTTGACGCGAAGCAAGGCGGCGACGACTCGAGCGAGGAGGACGACTCTGCTGGCTCAGACGTCGACGAGAGCTTGACAGTGCCCGATCGACGAATACAGGACAATGACCACGACGAGGTAAGCTCAGTCCAATGAACCTGCGTTCCTCCCGCTGACTCGGCCTTTTCTCCCAGCCCGGCCCTGCATTCCCGTACGACCCGCTCGTCGAATACACCGACGAGTTCGGCCGCGAACGTCTCGTCCCGCGCTCCGAAGTCCCACGAGGAGCGCCCTTCCGAGATCCGAACGGGAACGGCGAGTGGCAGTATCAAAACATGGTGGAGGAGCAGACGCCAAGTGCGTTCAAGCCTGGAGAGGGGCCGCAAGCGTGTGTTCGTTTCCGCTCTTCGCTCGATGCACGCGCTGACAGGAGTTCCCCGAGCAGCCAAAACGTCTACTACGGCGACCAGACGCAGTTTCCCGTCTACGAGCCCGACCCCGAAGTCCTCGCTCGACGCGCCGCCACCCTCGCCGCTGCTGCCGCGGCCCCGCTCGTCTCGCACTACGACTCGACTCAGGAGAACCGGACTCGCGGAGCTGGGTTCTACCAGTTCAGCGGGAACGAGGAGGAGCGGAAAGCGCAGATGGAGGCGTTGCAGAGGGAGAGGGAGGAGACTGAGCGCAAAAGGAGGGAGAAGGAGGAGCTGGGGGATGTTGTCAAGCGTGAGAGGGAGCGGGAGAAGGAGGAACGGAAGAGGAAGATTGGGGAGAAGCGGCGAGAGATGGAGGAGAAGCGGAAGAAGGCGCGAGGAGGGTGACTGTTCCGTCTCTCGCATAGCTTGTTGTAGTACCGCTCTATTCGCACGCATTGCATCCCTCACCCTCCGCTTACTGGCGGAATCGGGCACACCGTCTCTCCTCCCTTGAGCAACACCTCGTCCTCGCGCTCCTCGTCGACCATCTCCTCATCGACACTCCACGCACTCCGCTCCAGCACCCGCGCCAACTCGTCGTTCCCTGGTTGCACTTGTCGTGTCAGGTGGACCCGCAGTTGCGAGAGAGGGAACGGCGAGGGAGATGTGGGGAGTTCGACGAGTTGCGAGGCCGGCTCGCCTAGCCAGGCGCTGCGGACGCCGGCGAAGAGTAACAGCGTGATCTACGTAGAGAATGAAGGTCAGGGATGATGACCTGCGGGACGCGGAGGGTTCCGCTCACTTGTGGCATCCTCGAGGCGAAGTGGAGGAGGGCAAGAGGCGAACGGAGGATTCTTTCGCTGTCTTTCCGCGGTTTGTGCACGCCCTGGAGTTCCGTGTGAAGCCATGCACAAGCGACGCCACCTTTCGGAAGATCAGCGAGCTAAGAAACGGAGGAATGAGGCGAGGGTATAAATTGCAAGGAGAGAAATGTGCTGGATAAGCGAGCGCAAGCCCACGCTCTTTTGGTGTCGATGCTCTATATACGGAATAGGTCAGGCGGAGAGGCGCCCGCGGGTCTAGATGAAGTTGTTCTTCTCGAGGTAGGCGACGATGTGTGCGACGCCCTCCTCGATGCTCGTCTCGTTCGTCTTGATGTGCAGCTCGGGCTTCTCCGGCGCCTCGTAGGGTGCAGAGATGCCAGTAAACTCTGCGGGTGGAACAAAGTCAGCACATGAGCGCGAGGCCCGAGAGTGAGGGGCAAGAGAGAATCGTCCGCTCCTCCTCCTCTCCAACTCACCCTTGATCACGCCAGCCCTCGCCTTGGCGTACAATCCCTTCGGGTCACGCTTCTCGACCTCCTCAAGCGGCGCGTCGACAAAAACCTCGAGGAAGGGGATGCTGCTGTCCTCGTGAATCTTGCGAGCGAGAGCGCGGTCGGCGAGGTAGGGTGAGATGAAGGCGGTGAGGGTGGTCGTGCAAGACGAGGCGACGAGCTTGGCGACCTGTGCGATGCAACGCACGTCAGTTTCAGCGAAAGGAGAGTACGACGCGAGCGCAAAGTCGCCCAGACGACCTGATCACGACATCCAGAGGAGGGAGAGGGAAACGCACCTCTCCAACGCGGCGGATGTTCTCCTCGCGGTCCTTGGGCGAGAAGCCGAGGTCCTTGTTCAGTCCAAACCGCACGTTGTCCCCGTCGAGGCGGAAGGCGCGCTTGCCGCGCTGGAGGAGCTCGAGTTCGAGGGCGCAGGCGAGCGTCGACTTGCCCGACGCAGAGAGGCCCGTGAACCAGATGGTGACGCCGCGCTGGCCGACGAGCTCCTCGCGCTGCTTCTGCGAGACGCCCTCGTGCCAGACAATGTTCTTCGAGACGGGCTCGCTCGTGCTGTGAGGGGCGGACATGGCGGCAGGCTGCTGTCGACAACGCGGGTCCCGCCAGTCAGCTCGAACAGTCTTCTGAGAGTGTCCTCGTAGCACTCACACGCTTGGATAGGCGAAAGAGGGACGAGGGAGCGACGGCGAGCGTGTGGTGGAGGGTTGAGGAGCGAGAGCGAGGTTGGATCACGATTCGACCCGCTTGCACCGCTAGGATGGCTTCTGAAGCGCTCAAGAAGGCCATGGAGGAGCTCGCAGCGTCCGGAGACGCACCCGAACTTGCAGAACTGCCGCCATCGAAGTTGGGAACAAGGGATCACTGGGACGAGGCGAGTCGACCGCTCTACCGCCAGTCGAGACTCGCTGGGACGCTGACTGGGACGACGATGGAATGCAGGTCTACGAGAGGGAGGTCAAGATGTTCAAGGAGATTGGGGACGAGGGAGAGGTCTGGTGCGTCGCTTTCAGAATGTCAAAACGGCGCTGCTGTCCTCGTTGTGCTGACCCTGAACATCTATACGCTCGCAGGTTTGGCGAGGACTCGGCGCAGGACATGGTCGAGTGGGCGGAGGAGCACTTCCCTCAGCTCGACGGACGGATATTGGACGGTGCGTCTTTGTTTCGCTTCATAGACGGAGGCTACGGGCTCTCTTCGAGCCTGATGTTTGTTCTTGACTTACACTGACACCTTACGTACGCCTCTACTGCTCGGCCGCAGTCGGCACCGGCAACGGCCAGCTCCTCTTCGCCTTCTCCTCCGCCGGCTACACCTCCCTGACCGGCATCGACTACTCCCCTCTCTCCATCGAGCTCGCCAACAACATCCTCACCGCACGAACATCCTCCGAGGACAGCGACCTCGCCTCGCCTCCACCTCGCTTCTTCACAGCCGACATCCTGAATGTCGCAGAGGGCAAGGAGGTCAAGGGCGTGACGGGCGAGCGGTGGGACCTAGTCACGGACAAGGGAACGTACGATGCGGTGTGCCTGAGTGACGAGGCGCGGAATGGGAAGAGCTTGAGGGAGCTGTATGTCGAGTCGGTGGCGAAGCTCTTGCCGAAGGGCGGTCTCTTCCTCATCACATCTTGCAAGTCAAATCCGCACTCCCTTCTGTGTCCATACAAGCTAACCATTTTGCTTCATGCAGGCAATTGGACGCAAGCCGAGTTGGAAAAAGCGTTTGTGAGCGAGTCGACCGGTGCGTCCTCCTCTTCCCTCCCTCCCTCTTGCATCGTCCGGTGCCCAGTCCCGACGACTGACACGGACGCCTGTTGACGCCCACTTCGTCGCAGGCCTCGTCGTTCACTCGAACATCCCCCGCGCAAGCTTCGAATTCGGCGGCAGTACCGGATCTTCCATCACGACTGTCGCGTTTGAGAAGCGGTGACGGCGGTTGCTGCAATAGACGTTTGCGCATGCGTCCAAGTTGCACGAGAGAAAGCTCAAGCCGGAGCGACCGGTGACGGAGGGACGGAAGAGAGGGAAGCGGGCGAACGTTCGAGCAGTCCGATGGACTACTGCCCTAGACGGGTGGCAGCGCAAGCCTAGCCGTTCCCGAGCCCGTCGCGCCCGGTCAAGCGCCTCAGCTACATTCTTGAGCGCTTGCAGCGGGTTGCGCGACTTTTGACTGATGAGAATGGCGAGGGCGTGAAGCGGGTCCAGAAGGGAGCGGGGCGATAGGAGGACGTGCTGGCGCAAGATTGAAGCTGCTTCGAGTGTGTGCGCAGCGTCTCAGCCCGACCAAGCCAGCCGTGATGAGACGCAGGAGACCAACCTCGGAACTCGCTCGTCGCCTCCTTCCCTTCTACCCACACCCAGCTTGAGCGCGCCTGACTGCCCAGACCGCCCGCTATGGCATCTCAATACGACCCGCACAGCATTCGCACGGCGACCGTCGCCCGCAAGACCGGCGAGACCGACATCCAGTGCACCCTGACTCTCGATGTCGAGGCGGGCGCGAAGCAGGTTATCGAGGTGGACACGGGCATTGGTTTCCTGAACCACGTGCGTCGCGCCCTCTGCTTCTGCAAGCGAAATCGCAGCTGATCCCGTCTCCTTCACCTCGGTGCCACTCCCTCTCCTTCCTCCTCGCAGATGCTGCACGCCCTCGCCAAGCATGGCAAGATGTCTCTTCAGCTCAAGTGCAAGGGAGACCTGGAGGTGGACGACCACCACACGGCCGAGGACTGTGCGTTGGCGCTGGGCGAGGCGTTCAAGAAGGCTTTGGGCGAGCGAAGGGGCATCAGGCGGTACGGCACTGGGTTTGCGCCGCTCGACGAGGTGCGTCGTTGCTCTATCTCGACGGCAGGAAAGCACGGCAGGCTGATCTGCTTCTCGCATTGTCCAGGCCCTCGCACGAGCAGTCCTCGACATCTCCTCCCGACCGTACTTTTGCGGCGACCTTCAGCTCAAGCGGGAAAAGATTGGCGACCTCTCGTGTGAGATGATTCCGCACGTATTCCACTCGTTCGCCGAGGCAGCTGGCGTCACGCTCCATGTCGACGTCTTGAGGGGCTTCAACGACCACCACAAGTGAGTCCTCCTGCCTCCTTGCTGCACTTCCGTTGGGTTGCAGACCGCCACTCAGAGCATGTGATCTAGCTGCCTTGGCCGGAGCAATCCCTTACCCTGACCTTCCCGCAGGTCCGAATCCGCCTTCAAGGCCCTCGCGCTCGCCATCCGGGAAGCAATCCAGCGCGACAACTCTGGCGACGTTCCCAGTACCAAGGGTGTCCTCGCCGTCTAGATCGAACCTGTCAAGAGTGTATTTCTACGCATCAAACTCGCATCCCGTGTCAACGCTTCTCGCTCCTCCACCTTGCCCAACTCCTCCGGGTGCAGTCCGTGGGGCTCGTTCGCGATTTTGAGTATACGAGCTATTCGGACAATGGCTCACTAGGCCGGCGGAAGGCTTCGCTGGCGATGCCGGCTCGAGATTGATGAGTTTCGAGAAAGCGTGAAGGCGGGCTTTCGGAGAGGCAGGCGCCTCACTGTAGACGAAGGGCGCCAGTTAAGAGTGCTCGCGTGCGATGACCGCGCGCACTTGACCTCGCAAGCCGTTAAGCGCCGCCGCCGCCCTCCAAGGACTTGTCGGACTTGTCCTCTTCGAACTTGGCATCTCGCTCGTCGCGCGGTTCACGTCTCACTGGCTGCTCGCACGACTGCTGCTCTCGTTCAGACCAGCGTCGCCTGCTAACACCGTCCACCGACACGCTCCCCGACTCGGACGGCGCGCCTTCATCCAACCTCCTCACCGAACGCTCAATCCCTCCTCACTCGCCCCGCCGCCCATCGTAGGCGCCGCAAAGGATGGCATACGATCAGCACTACCCTCAGCAGCAGTACGGCACGAGCGCAGA